TAGGAATGGGAATGTATCCAATCAGCGTCGACGTTGTTTCAGAACGTTTCAGAAGCATGATGGGCGATAGAGCTACGACCAAGGCTTTCGTTGGTGTTCGGTAGAACTCTGAGAGTCTCGACTCCAGCACGTTTTGACGGTGGTGACGCAGACGTAGACAGTGCGCCTACAACATGGATACCGGATCTCAGCAGCCACTGAATTCAGTTCGGTCTCTTCTCCAGTATCCGTTCGAGAGGAGAACTATGGTGGAAAAACTTAATGTCAAAGAGCTTGGACCAGATCAGCCCGACGTAAAGATAAGCCAGCAGGACAAGGAGAAGGGTAAACTGTACACACAACGCTTCTCCCAAAATTGGTACACCAGGAAGCAGTGGCTAGCTGGATGCAATCACGCTAATGCGTTATTTTGCTTTCTGTTTGTTATTCAAAACGGCTGGGATCCACAGGAGGTGGATGTGGAACTTGTGTCTCATTGGGGACTCCATTCATTCTCTGACTGAGGAATGCAGCGCATCAGTGCAGCAGCCAACAAAGACGGAGGACGTTTGGACAGGGAGAACAGCAGCTGGGTGCAGAGGTAAGCTGTACATTACATTTCTGTAAACAAGGCAATCAGAATCAGAAATCCTTGGTTGTCCCACAAACCGGGACATTTGTTTAATAACATATTTAATGTGCAATAACTGTAAAAACTAATTTCAACACACATACCTATTATACATATTTAATCATGTAAATGTGTATTTCAAGTAAATTTGTACATACATCAATCTGATTCCATTTTACTTGTTACACTTCTGCTGCAGCAAACAAATTTCCCAGCTTTTGGGACAATTAAACATTTCTGATTTGTCCCAAAAAGTGGGAAATATGACATTTGTAAGAGGATACTGATGACATTATTTCCTATGAAAGTGTTTCCACTTTCCATAAGTCCTAACAGTGTAAATTTCTGGCATTTTGTCTAAGTAGTGTTTACTACCGTTACGGTAACAGTGACCTGCTCATAATTTTTCGTGTTCACTCAAATGTTGAAATTAAACAAAATGTTTTTGTTACTTGCCTCTTGCATTGCCTATTTACCATTTATGGTCATGTTATTTTATGTGCAATTTAATGCAGTATTTTTCAACCTTGGTCCGCAAGGCAGCGTGCCAATAGTCAGACACACCTGGATTAATCAGTTTGTCCAATGATGTAAGACAGGAAATAAAAGAGCTGTGCTTAATTCAGGAAATAGTGAAGTTGTGCACAAAGCTCAGAAAGCACAAGTTTGTTTAAAAAAAATAGCACAGCCCCACCAAAAATATTTTTCACCAGCCGCCACTGCTGCCAGCAATGCGGACCAAGCTCTGGCACTGGTCATACAGGGACCTAACAGCCTGTATCAGAGGCCCTGGTACCCATACTCCTGATTTAACCCCCAAGGGCCTCCCGAGGGAAGCGGTTGAACACCTTTTTCAAATCCACAAACACATGTAAATTGGTTGGGCAAACTCCCACACACCCTCCAAGATCCCCCTAAGGGTATCGAGCTGGTCCAGTGTTCCACGGCCAGGATGAATACCACATTACTCCTCCTGAATCCGAGGTTTGACAGTCCATCAAACCCTCCTCTCCAGAACCCCAGAATAGACCTTATCAGGGTGGCTTAGAAGTGTGATCCCCATGTAGTTTGAACACATCCTGCAGTCCCCCTTTTAAATAGGGGAACCACCAACCCAGTCTGCCAATCCAGTGGAACTGCCCCTGATGTCCACGCGATGTTGCAGAGCTGCGTCAGCCAATGCAGCCCTACGACATCCAGACCCTTAAGGAACTTTGTGCGGATCTCATCCGCCCCCGGAGCCTTGCCACCAAGGAGCTTTTGACAACCTCGTTGACCTCAGCACCAGGGATTTGAAAGCCCAACTCAAATTCCCCGGACTCTGCTTTTTCAATGGAAGACGTGTCGGTGTGACTGAGGAGGTCTTCAAAATATTCCGCCCAGTCCACCACATCCCGATTAGAGGTCAACAGCACATCGTCCCCACTATAACCTGAGGCGCCGGATGGTGGACCAGAATCTCTTCGAAGCCATTTGGAAGTCTTGCTTCATAGTCTCACCGAACTCCTGCCATGCCTGGGTTTTTGCCTCTGCGACCACCCAGGCTGCATTCTGCTTGGCCTGCCGGTGCCTATCCACTGCCTCTGGAGTCCCACAGACCAAAGAGACCCTATAGGACTCTTTCTTCAGCTTGATGGCATCTCTAACCACCAGTGTGTCCACAGGGGGGTTTGGGGATTACCCCATAATAGGCACCGATGACCCTGCAGCCACAGCTCCAGTTGGCCGTCTCAACAACGGAAGCATGGAACATGGTCCACTCAGGCTCAATGTCCCTCGCCTCCCCCAGAACGTTTCGGAAGTTCTGACGGAAGTGGGATTTTAAGCTTCTTCTGACAGGAGACTCTGCCAGACATTCCCAACAGACCCAGACAATACGTTTGGGCCCGCCAGGTCTGACTGGCATCCTCCCCACCATCAAAGCCAACTCACCACCAGGTAGTGGTTAGTTGACAGCTCTGCCCCTCTCTTCACCCGAGTGTCCAAGACATGCGGCTGCAGATCAGATGAAATGATATCAAAGTCGATCATCGAGCCGCGAGCTAAGGAATCCCAGCTGAAATGAGTTTTCTCCACAGCTTAGGCTCTCCCCTAGTGGTGAGAAGCTCTGTCATCTGGGAGGGGCTTGGAGTAAATCCGCTGCTCCTCCACATCATGGAGACCCAGTTGAGGTGGCTAGGGCATGTGGTGGGGTGCCCCATGGATATCTCCATGATAACATTTTCCGTGCATGTCCAACCAAGAGTAAGTAAGTAAGTAAAAGTTTATTTATGTAGCGCCTTTCACAGATATAAATCACAAAGCGCTGTACAACATGATGAAGATCAGGGCAAATACCTCTAACCAATAAAATCATCAGAAAAACAATAGCAGTGATAAAGTAGAAAATAAAATCATGAGTATAAACAAAGTGAAGGTGTGAACCCAAACAAAGCCATCTTTTTGAAACATTTAGGGAGGGAACGCCTGGATGAAAAGGTGAGTTTTTAGATGATTTTTAAAGACCTCTACAGTGTTAGAGAGACGGAGATTTGAAGGTAGACTGTTCCAAAGTCTGGGGGCAATAGTCTGAAAGGCCCTGTCCCCTTTGGTTTTCAGTCTGGTTCGAGGAACAGCCAGGAGGTTTTCAGATGTGGATCTAAGGTTCCGAGAGGTGGTGTGTGGGGATAAAAGCTCAGATAGGTAGCTTGGAGCCTGGTTGTTAAGAGCTCTATAGGTCAGCACTAAAACTTTAAACTGTATTCTATATTCTACCGGGAGCCAATGGAAGGACTGTAAAACTGGAGTGATGTAAGCTCGTCTGCTGGATTTGGTTAGGAGTCTGGCTGCTGCATTTTGGATGGCTTGAAGGCGTGAGAGGGAGGTTTTGCTGAGACCAGTAAAAAGAGCGTTACAGTAGTCTAAGCGTGATGACACAAAGGCATGGATGATTTTTTCCAGATCTGCAGTAGAAACCAGTTTACGGACTTTTGAAATGTTTCTCAGTTGGAAGAAACAAGAGCGGGAGATGGTTTTGATGTGTGAGTCTAAACTTAAAGCTGGATCAAAAATAACTCCCAGGTTTCTAATGTTGGCCTTGGCTGATGGGCAAAAAGAGGCAATTTCTTGCTCGATTTTTGGCTGAAGTTCCGGGGGTGCAGTGATCAGGGTCTCTGTTTTGTTGGCGTTGAGAACAAGAAAGTTGCTGGACAGCCAGTTACTGATCTGATCTGGGTCAGGCAGAGTACAAGGGTGGCCAGCCTGTCCAACTGGTGTGGCATAAAGGACATATAGAGCTGAATATCATCAGCGTAGATGTGGTAGGAGATGTCTGGGAAAGACTGAATGATGCCAGCTAGGGGAAGAATATAGAATGCGAATAGTAGAGGCCCTAGAACTGAACCTTGTGGAACCCCGCATGTTAGAGAGGCAGTATATAAGAGAAGGTTTCGGACTTCACTGTGAATGTTCTGTTTGTGAGATAGGAAGAGAGCCAGTCTAGAGCAGAACCTGAAATCCCAGCCAGGGCCTTTAACCTGTTGAGTAGAACGTTGTGGTCTACAGTGTCAAAAGCTGCACTGAGGTCAAGCAGGACCATGACAGAACATTTCCCTGCATCAGCAGCCATCAGGAGGTCATTATGCACCCTTACTAGAGCAGTCTCCGTTGAGTGCTGCTTCAGAAAGCCAGATTGGAAGGGGTCAGAGATCTTTGACTTAGAAAACCAGGATCTGAGTTGGGTTTCAACAACCTTCTCAAGTACTTTACTGATGAAAGGCAACTTAGAAATGGGCCTAAAGTTACTGGTGGAGCTGGCGTCAAGGTTGGGTTTCTTTAAGAGAGGAGTCACTACTGCATTTTTAAAGTAAGATGGAACACAGCCTTGGCTCAGTGAGCTGTTGATTATAGTCAAGAGTAGACTTAAAGGAAGACCCAGGACATGCTGGAGGGACGATGTTTCTCGGCTGGTCATGTGACTGGAGAGAGGGAAGCCTTGGCCCCCATAACCCGAACCAGGATAAGTAGAAGACGATGGATTTATGGATGGAATAATAAAAAGGCTAACACATCTGCATTTTATGGATAAATCCAACAAAATGTTTCATCTTCTGGTGTTCTGAAAGACCTAATGTCTCTTAAACTGCTACAGTCCATGACAGGAACTCCACCTCACAATTCACCGGGCTCAAATCATCTCTCACTAACACATTTGTTGTCTAATGTGTCAAAATCTTTGTTTTTTTAGGAAAACATCCCAATATTAGACCTATAGTCATAATGTTATGGCCTATTGAACACCATGTGGGTTTATTGTTGATGCTGTGAGGAGCTGTGACATTTAACACCTATGTGTTCTCACCTCCCTGATCAGGGGAACTCTGAGCCGGCCCACGCGCCGGTTCAGCTCACATCTGAGCAGCAGCAAAAATGCTTTTAGACACAAAGTTGCGGTTTGGGGGTTAAGTTTTGTCAGGAAAAACAAAAGGCAGCCAGAGTTCTGCAGATATTACTACAAATGATCTATACATCGTACACGCACTCTGAAAACACAGCCCAAGGCAGCCTCCCAGCCTGTAGGAGGAAGTTAGTCAGCGTCTTAAACCTGAAAGCAGAGGCAGACGGTGCAGGACGCCAAGCTGAGCGGGTATGCATAAATCTGGTCTTTAACTCATTCTTATTGCATTTAAAGCTTTTGGATTTGCAGCAAATCTCATCAACAGTGGATTCTCATTCTTAATGATGATGATGATGATCAGTGCGTTACAACTGTGAAGACATGAACCTGCTTTTTTTCCTCAGAGAAATGTTTCATTTTTCTTGTTTTTAAAAACATTTTTGTGAAACATTCATGACTTGTGGTTTGTTCGGTGGTTCCGATGGAAAACACCAGCTGATATAAAATACACAGAAAAGCGAAGGACGTGGCTCATACCTGTGGAGGCTAATTAAAAGTGTTGATGTCTGCAGAAACTACATCAGACGAGACGGCGTTGTGTGTTTCTGAGAGCCGAGCCGACCGACAGCATGGCGTACTCAGGGTTCTTCGTGGCTGTGCTGTTTGTTCTGAGCAGTGAGTTATGTAGTTTTCCACCTGCTGTTTTCTTCACACTCAACATTAAGGTGGCCTCACACAGGAAGCTAAAACCACACACACTCTATGACATTTATTTCATCAGCAGCAGCTGAAATGTCTCCAATTAATCTTGTTTGTTCCATTTTCTCACTTCCAGCTCTGCCGGGGGCACTAACCGGTAACAACTGCAACACTAAAATCCTCATTATGAAGCAGACCTGGTGATTCGGCTTTTCCAGGTTTTCTCTCTCAGCCCACCTGACACCCTCATCTGTGTGTGTGTTGGTCAGACAGCGCCGTGTCCTGCTACAGGATTGAACCGGGAACTGTGGCGGGCATCATCTGTGCAGATTTGTTGCTGACTCTGATTATCGTCGTCGTGACGTACCGATGTGCCCGCTTTAAACGTCAGAAGCTAGAAAAGGGTAAGGCAGTGGGGGTGAGATGATGAGTGAATTATTTAGAGACACTGAGATGGGATGGTTCCAGGCTCGGCACTGAAAAGGGAGTTTGCTTTGGGTTGGTTGGGTCTTTGCTGCAGTATTCATGTGACACCATCAGGAGCCTCAGTAGCATGTGTACGACAGGGGCGTGTCCAGGGAGTGGCCTGGGGTTGCACATGCCACCCTTAGAATCTGATTGGCCACCCAGGTGCCACCCTACTGAGTTCCAGTTTAAATTGACTTTACATTGTCGACAAAAGGCTTGAGTTGTAAACTCCAAAAATGGTGTGTGGTAGCAGGCACCTTTAACACTGTCTTCTAGCCCAGGCCTACTTAACGTTTCTCGTAGTATTAATATTATTTATTATTTTTTCATATTCACATAAATAGTATTTAGAGTCCCACTCAACTCCAGTTGGTGGCAGTAATGCAACAAGAAGGGACTTGCTAACCACCACAAAACTAGACGATGAATAGAAAAAAATGGTGATTGTGCAATGTGAAACTCCAAAATTCACTAGAAAGTAAATAAATAAATAAACGATTTGTGTAAATAAATAAATAAGCATAACCATTGGTGCCACCCATGCATAAACAAGTGCCCCACATGGGCCACCCCATTTTAAAAGTCCTGGACACGGCTCTGGTGTACGACTCATACCCAGCCACAGCTTAGCCCCTCCTCATGCTGGTCACCAGTCTGATCACACTTTCTAATGGAAACCCATCTGGAGTTGTTGATGGTCAACCATGGTGGTGTTGGTCTCTCTTGCGTGTGGAGCATCTGTCCTAGAGCTGTGACCTGGATGGGGACAGACCTGGCAGCACACCAACAGAATATTATCCCAGGGGATTGAGCACAAGTTGGGTGGGCTCACCAACCCGTTTTGTTTTTATGAAAGGATGCACGATTCTTACAAGTTCTCCTTCATGGGAAAGGTGAATAATCATGCTTTTCAACTAGGGACTATTTATTGCCAAGATGCACCTAAATAACTTCTGTACTTTTTCTGCTAAGCTTACATGTTGCAGGAAGGTTTTTAAACCTCACTAAACCTTTTTGAAGATGCGTTTTCATTAGGGATGCACGATATATCGGTATCGGCCAATGCTAGTCATTATTTAACATAATGGTATCGGTCCAATTAATAAAACTGGGCTGATATTAACAACCAATATTTTTTCCATCTTGTTTCCATTTGTTTATCTGTTTCAGAGGTGACAGTGATTGTAATCATCTCAGAAGCGTGCGTACATGTGTGTGATGTGTGTACTTAATAATGTAAATTCAGCTTTAATATTTTTCACTCTATATAAAATCTGCTGATTTTAGAAGCATTAAAGTCAGCATATCGGTTATCAGCCATAACTGTGATATTAACATCAGATATCGGTGTCGGCCCAACCATTTCATATTGGTTCATCACTAGTTTTCATTCATAAAATCTTTGGACTTTTGCATGGAGGCTGCTTTAATATTGTAAACAGTGTATTTGATACGATATAATTATGTCCCAGACCATTTTTAAATCTGATTTTTCTGCTCTTATTTTGAAGTAATGGACTTTGTTTATTTCTCCACAGCTGACAAGGTGTACATGAATGTCCGGGCCAACTGCAAACCCACATAGAGCTTGCTGCAACGTTTTAGTCTGCTGTAAGAAATGACTCGGTTGAAATGTTTTCTTCTCTACTCACTGGGACTGCTGTGCTCCTGAAGGCCTTAAAGCGAGCAGATTTCTTTGTGACGTTTGTTCCTCAGAGCTGCCTCTCAAAAAGTCTGCTAAGATACAAACTTTAAGCTAAAAAATAAAATATATCTTTGACACAGTTAAAAGGTACGTTTTATTTTTAAACACGTTTTTTGCTTCCGCAGATGGTTTTATTTTAGAGCTATTTCCTAACGTGAGGAATGATGTTTAAACACAATGTTTTATTTTTTAAAACTCAGGTAAAATGTTAGGTACAAAAAATATGTAAACACAAAACGACAGAAAATTAATTCATTTATGATCAAATGAGTTTGCATTTTAAAATGTTGGCTCTAACTCCAGCCGACATCGCCCTCTGCAGGTGGTTTTTGATTTGGCTTCTTGTTCAGTTATTTCTCCCAAAAACAGCAGAAAAGAGATGAGAAATGATAAAAGATGCTGCTTTTCTGTACATTTTACTGCTTAATGAAAATATAAAATGTAACTTTTACTTTTTGAATAAAGCTTTTTTTAAACTATTAGAATGTGTTGATTTCTCTTAAGCAACCCTTCAAAACAACGTCTAAAAAAAGCAAAATAAAAGTGTTAGAAAACAATCAACATGCAAATAATTTAGAAATTCATGGTTAAGTCATTTTGAAACATCAGTCAAAGAGTGAAAATCTGGATTTGGACATGGTGCACTGATTAGCGTTGCATTTGGGCCTCACGTCCTTTTGATGTCGCAGATTTAGTCATTATTTTAATTTAAAACCTTTGTGTTTAAATTGTCATTATTAGTGAAACGTTTTTTAACTTGAGACCACATGTGGTCCTTGGTCCGGCTCACAGTGATGAGAAACTGGTTAAACGTTACAAGTTTCACACTAAAATAACCGGACCAAGAACACGTCGCTGTCTCTATGAACGCTGGTGAAGTTGATCTGATCCTCTAGGCTCTACACCAGGGGTGGGCAGTCCTGGTACTCGAGGGCTGCTGTCCAGCAGGTTTTAGTTGTTTACCTGCTCCAACACATATTCAGCAGCTCATCAGGCTCTGCAGCAGCCTGTTAATCACCAGCAGATTCAAACCAGGTGTGTTTAAGCAGAGAAACAACTAAAACCCGGATCGCCCGCCCCTGCTCAACACCCTCACCTTCCATTATTCTGTCTTTTCTTCTTTTCTGCTACAACTTAAATTCCAACAAAAACATCTGACACCATCAGAGATTAACAAGGTGTTAATTTCCCAAAATGCAGTTTTTAATAACTTTGTTTACTTTTGTTTGCTTGCCTCATTTTATTCAACTGAATAAAAATGAGTAAATATTATCCTTTATTCTAATTAAAATTAGAGTCACATGACAACTTTAATGGTGACGTTTCTGCCACATTTGCTCTTGGATGGTCGGTGGTCATTCTACATGTTTAGGTTTTACTGAGTTTCGTTTTGCTGGCAGGGCCCATGCTTTCATGGTGGTTAAAGCTAAATGCTGCAGAGGCCATCCGGCTGCACTAACCACAGGCAATGAGGAAGTGCTCCGTTTGAAGATAACATCACAACTGAAGCTGTAGGTGTGCAGAATCTGCAGCTTACACATCTCCATCCTTATTTCATTACAACAGAAAGCCGAAGCGTGGAAAAAAGCCAGAAACGGACAACGTGACAGTTTTTTTTTACAACGTTACTATCCTGGGATAACCAGAGAGACACAACAAAGTCACCACTTCCTTTTCTCTTGCTGGACTGCTTCTCTCGCTCCACCTCCTCCTACAGCCACAGCGGTGAAAACGACACCCGTGGACTTGTCTTCATCTGGAGGCTCGATCATCTGCCTCTGGACTCCAGCTCTTTGTTTACAGCAGCTCGCCGACCTCCATCCTCTAAGTGAAACTCAGAACATGTCTGAGGCTCTCTGCGTCGAGGGTTTGCTGTTGGGTGAGTCTTTGCACATTTAGACTTAAAGGTTTTTGAACACTTTTGTTAACGTTTTTGTCTCACAGGCTCAGGAGAAGGACGTCAAGGTATGAGAAGCTCCTCTTGGTTTTGTTCCAAGCGTTTTTGTTTCACATGTAACTCTGTTGTGTTGAATCTGTCCCTCAGATTGTGGCTCCTGCTACCTGATAAGCATGGGCTCTGTTGTAGGCGTTTTTGCGGCTGACATCCTCCTGACCACCTTCATCTCCGTCTGTGTGTTCTGCTTCGCAATGCGCCACAGGAGGAGGAGGAGGAGGCCACGCGACGCCCACGAAGGTGAGTCTGTCCCTTTTCTCCAAACTCTCATCCTTCTGCTTTGTCATGATGAACACTGAACCGGATTCTCCAACCATGACCAGGTGACGGACGTCTGCCTTTGTCCGTTTCAAAGAAAATGACAACAGAAGTGACAGAATCTCCGTACCAGGTACAGCGGCCCCCTCTTTGACTCACATTGTTTTAGTCGCTGATGTTTTGTTTTGATCATTTTTAGGAGTTACGTGGAGTCCAGTCAGATATCTACAGCGACCTTGGGCACTTTAGGAAATGACCTGCAATCCCGTCACATTCCGTAAAACCATTACTTCTCTAATGAGTAAAGTCACATAATCTGGTTTTCAGCGTAATGTGAAAACGTTTCTGTTCGGTGTGATTTGTCTGTAATTCTGCTGGTTTGCTGCATCCTCATTCTGTATAAATCTATTTAATCATAAATTAAACATTGTATTAATCCTAAATGATTTTATTTGACTGTGTTTAATGAGCAGCCACAGTAACAGGACGAACATGTGCATCACAACACTGAGTCAAAGCTGCTTTAATTCATGTTCTCACAAGATCAGGTGACAACCAAGAGTATAAAAATAAATGGTGTTTGGAAGTCTGCCTCAGATGAGTCAACGGGTGGTGACTTCGGAATCACACACTGGAAACACAGAAGGAACGTCGTTAAAACACACACAGCAGGCAGCTGTTTATTCCACGATGAGAGGAAACCAGACCTGGAGTGTGATCATCAGGCAGCTCGGTTCTTGGCTGGATCCAACACTCCACTGGGATCTGCCAGTGTTCAAACAGGAAAATGTCAGCTATAACAGATCAGGATTTCTGTCTACTTCATTAGAAACTGTATTCCTTTGGAAATAAAAAGTGTTCTTACTGAATGGGAAGGCTTCAGAGCTCGTGGATTCTCTGCTTTCTGGAGGAACATTTAGATAATCTGTAAAAACCATTCCTGAAATAATCCCAATCATCTCTACCTGATTTATTCCTACCATCATAATCTCTGGGTCTGCTGCTGTGTCCCGGAGGCATCCTGCCCGGGTTCTCCTCCAGACTATCCCAGTCTGGCGCCTCTCTGCTTTGATCCGGGACCAATCCCTGATGCGTCCCTCTTCCCGGCTGGACGTTGTTTTGGCTCCTCCTGGACATCGGTCTGGAGCGGGTGTGCTCGTTGACCACGTCTTTGTGAGCCAGGATCTCATGGCTGTCAGGATCTTTGGGAAGAGTCATAATGTCCGCATGAACGTGCACGTTTATCAATTTAATCAATCATTTAAAAAACAATCATTTTATAGTACTGCACCTGTGCTTTCTCCTCCACTTTGGTCTGATTCTGTAGACTCTGAAATATCAAGAAACAAGTCAGTTTACTTCTTAGGAAACTAAATATTGGGAGTGAGATAAGCCATACGTGGAGATTTAGTTGTTTCCAGACTTTCTGTAGATTTCTGATCAGACAAATCTGTGAAGGAGAGAGATGTTAAAACGAATTTAAACCAATGCATAAAAGAGGAAATGGCGTGGCCTGCACCTTCAGAGTCCTGCTGTTTCACTGGTCTGCCTGAAGCGTTTCTGCCTTCTAAAGACACGAGTACATGTGGTGATGTGAAATTAGATGGAGGTTAAAATGCAAAGTGTTCAGAAAAGATCTCAAAATAAAAAGGTTTCTGGTTTCTTTTGTGTTCTTGTGTTTGTGCGTTTAGGGAACCCAAAGCCTTTTGAGGATCTAGGGAGCTCAGCTCAGCGTGAATCTGACTTTCCACTCTAAACGCCTCTGAGTGTGTTTTGTCTCACACACCTGTGACAGTTTCAGGGATGGTCTTGTCCGTGGTTGCGGCGAGCGCTTCTATAAAAGCAGAGATCACAACAGCCCCTAAGATGGTTTCAACGCACTTCGCACAAATGAAAGTGTAACAAATGTCACCTTCGAGGAAGTTTAACACATTTGGGCTTCCAGCTGGAAAAGAAAGAACAAAAACAATCCTTCTGTGGTATTTTAACAAACCAGAGTTTTCATCTGAAAACTGAAAGAGCTCAAATAAAAGCTGTTTTACCCTTTAGCGGGCTGGTCTCCACCAAGACAGCGAAGGGAAGCAGGAGCAGACAAAACACCAAGCTGAAAGAGAGAAGATGACACTTAGTCCAACAGTTAAAATAAACTTAAACAAAGTTTATTATTATTATCACAGTTGAATCTCACGGCTTCATCTTTGGTTTGTGTCCACGGCTGTGGCCTGCGAGGAGGCAGATCGGCTTTTATGTGCTTCCACAACAAAGCTTGGCCTTCAGTGATTCACACGTTCTGATAAGATCTTCTAGCTGGAGTCCAACACTAGATTTGTTTGTTGGAAACTTTGTGATCCGAGGTCAGAGGGGCAGCCATTTCGTTGGTTTCTGGTGAGTTTAGAGATCCATTCATTCCCGATTGACAGGAAAACAATTGATCTTAACATTCAGATGGACTAAAAGGATCGGTTTCACCCTCGTATCCATTACAGCTAATCAGTCACTTCAAAGCTAATGAATGCATCTGGCTCCCTCTCAGGGTTATGGCTGATGCAACTGACCGTGTGTTGGTGCTTGTCGTTATTTACCGTTGTCCTTTCATCAGACTTAACAAAGGCCCTTTGAAGAATCCAACTGAACAACAAGGGATCCTGTCTCTGAAGAATGTCAGCGAGATCAGAAAGCAGCAGTTTACAAAACATTTCAACTCCAGTTTGATTCAAAAGAATGAAAAACACTTGATCAAACGCTCAAAATTGCACATTTTAAGAAGGAATACCTAATTTGAACAAAACTTTTATATTCTTTTTGTTGATGAAGTTTAGCAGAAGGATGGCTCAGCTGTGCTGTAATGGAGGCTAAATGATTTTACTGATAACAGAAAGATAACCCCTGAAAGCTGAGGTCAGATCAGCACACCTGTTGTTTCAAAAACTAGAATTATTCTCCTAACCTTCAGCTAGAGAAGTTACTTACATTTGAAATGATGGCTGATCAGAAACATTTTCACTTCACCTCAGCTGCTCCTCTTAAATACTCCGAACCAGAAAAGGTTGAGTTTGAATCCCGATGTAGTCCAACGTTGGAATGGCGAACGCAGAAATGAAAAACCTTTTTAGACTTTTATAAAGGTGTAAACTTGACAGGATTTGCAGCTTTCCTGATCAGTTTTGCACTTCCTGGCCCACGTTTTTGGATAAGTTAAATGTGCAAGTAGTTTCCACTCTAAGACATGTTTTCGTGGTTCTGTGAAAAAGCACCTGACAGATCTCGTCTGCCTTTGCTTCCCTGTTACAATCGCATGTTTGTGATCTGAAGAAAATTCTACAACAGGAAAACATTTCCTGATTAAATAGCCGTTGTTTTTAAATGATGACTTAATTTATCAAAGAAAACATCAGCAGCTTACCTGTGTGAAACTGTAACGCCTAAACTTGACTCATTCCAACCGCCTTGGAGCAAAAGCCTTTGTAACTAGTAATGAGTCTTTGACACCACTGTGGGGAAAGTTCCCTCACTCTTATTTACAAAACTATTTTATTTCTGCCACACTGAAGGTGTTTCTTGTTTGAGGTCAAAGGTCAGACATTATACTTCAGGATCTTCTGCTAGAGAGCAGAACACAGGGTTAAATTAATTACAGTGAGTCATCTAGGTCCTGAAGCAGCCCCAAACCATCACACTACCACCACTGTGTCTGGCTGTTGGTGTGATGCTCTTCATCTAAAACCCAGCTTCAGTTTCACATCTGATGTTAAGGAAAGTTCCAGAAAGTTTCACTTTTGTCTCGACAGTTCACAGAATATTTTCCTAAAAGTCTTGTGAATCCTCGAGGTGTTTTGTTCTTTTTGGTCAGCAGAGGCTTTGGTCCATGGAGGCCATTTTTGGCCCCTTGTCTCTTTCTGAAGCCCAATACCAACAGTTGCACTTCCACAGTTGCGCCCTTCATTTGCACATTCCCAGTCAGGGGTGTGAGTGCGTAGGATGTCCCGATTCTTAAATGGGGAAGTTAATCACACGCTTGGTCTGCACTTCACCCACTTGGGTGAAGGGTACTACCCATAATCCATTGCTACGGGAGAAAAGGCTCAAGTGTCTTTCTGAAATAATGTATTTTCAATTGAAAGTAGTTCGTTTAAGGATGATTAATTGATGCTCTGAATGTTTTAGACAAAGCAGCAATGACTGTAAATTGATTTAAAGTAATTGGTTGTTTGTTTGAAAGCTGTTAATAAATATTTTTTACAGCGACCGGCATCCTGGCACGCGTTGTGGTTGATGACGCAATGCTCCCTATCCCAATTCAGCAATTATTTGCAAACTTGTGTACCACACACTCGAAGCCTTACTGCGCACTTCCTCCAAGTGCACTTTACAGAAGACCGTAGGGCGCAGTGTGATTATTGGGCCTTAGTGTTGAATTGTGACCTTTGACCTTACTCTTAACCATGTGAGGCTGGCTGTGTTCGTCTAGATTGCTGTAAGTGAGCAGAAATCAGCCTTCCAGATAACATGGTTAATGAGAGTTATCAGCTTTAATAAGAGAGGCTATTTCTGTCACATATGTGCCTCGGTCCCCAGTGAGTCGTGGTGGATGGCTGCTTATACTGAGCCAGGATCCTCTGGAGGTTTATTCCTGTTAAAAGGGAGTTTTCCTCTCCACTGTCGCCACATGCTTGTTTAGTATGAGGATTGCTGTAAAGTCAGTGACACTAGTCAGTGACTTGATGCAATTTGCTGGGTTCCTTATATAGGAACCATTTTTTCTGATTGGCTTAATGAACTGACCTTGATTGGAATGTTTATTATGTGAAGGTCCTTGAGACGACTCTTGTCGTGATTTGGCGCTATATAAATAAACTCAAATTGAATAGAATTGAATTGAATTGGGTTTGTTCTGACTGCTGTTAAACCCCAAATAAATGAAATCATCATTTTGTGTTTACTCAGCCTATCTTTGTCTGGTATTGAAATATGCTTGTTGATCTGAAACATTTCAGTGTGAAAATGAAACAAAACAAACCTGCAAAGGACACTTTTTCATATCACTGTGTTCATTTGGTGGAATTTCGTATATAAGATAGGGTGTGAATTATTTGCAAATGATAACGTTTATAGGATACGGTTCCATTTATCAACCCGGGTCATCTAGGAATGCCCTGATATGATGACCATAAACTCAGGAGTGACTGCATGGCTGTGATCAGGTACAAGTTCTAATTGATGCAGTCACATGCTCTTCTTTATCCAGTTACATGATTTAACAATGATCTTTCATACCCTTAATCGTCTGCTGTGGACTGCAGGGTTTGTAAGTCACAGAAGAAGAGTTTTTCTTGTGGTTTCCGTTAATATAATGATAACTTTACAGCTGATTAAGAACACTCAGCAGACACGTGCAGTTCAAAGTTTGAGCCAGACCTGTTGACGGCAGGGGTGTGAGTTCTACCCATCGACATTAATATACCCTACCCAGCAAAAAGGAAAAAACGAGAGCGCCCCCTGCTGGAGAGGCTGTTTGCACTAAGCTCTTGAGCTCGAGCATCGCCATATTGACGTCCCAACAACGCTGAGAGGTAATCGTGTTTTTTAATCGCAAATCTTCGTTGTTTTGGGACCATTGTGGACTGGATTTAATGCTAGGAAAAGCTGGGGGAAACGTTACTCGGCCGTGGTGCCGTTTTGCTTCCCAGTCACAGCTTCTGTAGGATGTTTTTTCAAGGCGTTGTCAGCCAGTTGCTTCGACAGCAGCAGTCTATTCACTCCCTTAGCTTGCTAGCTTACCACCGCTTAGCTCCAAGAATGATGATTTTTCGATACTTGGTGTGTAACCTTGGATGAATAATTACATTTAGATGAAAACACTCTTATTCTATCACTCATTTTAAAAATTGGATTACGACACAGTCTTAATCCGATTGAGATGTGGTTATTACTTTTCAGCCGGCTTTCACTGTGCTGTTAAGGAGCTAAAATCGTTAGCATCCCTGCCAGCTTCCAGGTGTTGTGTCGAGTTGTGTTCGTGTTGAAGTCGAGCTCTATCTCGTCCTAACGGCGAGTTTGCGGCAAGCACGCGCATTTTTCGCCATCTGAATGGGGCGGAGCTGGTGAAGCAGGAGACTTTGTCGTGGGAACACAATTCGACGCAACACCTTAACCGGTTCTCTGCCTGCTAGCTGCTAACGCTAATGTAGGCCGTGGGCCATAGTGCGCACGCTCAACCTTTTCCTCAAAGTATCAAACGGGCAGACTAGGTTTAGTTAAACGTATCGCGTACTGAAAATGCTATGTGTCGATTAAATGCTTCCTATTACTATATTACACATAACCCCATTAGCATTAGCTCTGCCGGCTGGCGTGCGCTGGCCCTCACACTTTGCTCATGTTTGCCTAATTGACATGATTGATTTGAATCAACCTACTTTTTACCCTTGCTTTTTCCAACAGGAGGTAACTGTTGTAGCCCCCAGTGATGACTGTACTGAACCCTGTACCTCCTGATTAGACTGGTTGGATGCCCTCATTTAATATCCAGGTTCTCAATTTCACATACAGTCAAATCAAACTCACATTATGCACCAGTTATTATTATTAGTATTATTATTATTATTATTATTTTTACCATGAATGATATTTCACTTATGTGTGCGTTTTCGTTTTTATGGCGCAAAATGCGATTTATTTCAATTTTTTGTTGGGGAAATGCAAAGAACAGATTCAGATTTATCAGTTCCATCTTCCTTAGAACATATTTTGGTTGAAATTCAAAGAGGATTTTCTTTGTTTTTTTTTCAGTTGAGCTTTCCTACAACCGAAGCATAGCTGCAGCTCCTGCTCACTTCTTTTGTCACTCTCAACCTGGAGGAAAACCTTCAGGTATTGTTCTGCCTGAAACGTTCACTCTTTTTTCACAAATATTAAAATAAACGCAAATATTTTAATGTTTTTGTTGTTAAAGTGTTTGCCTTTGCACATTTGTGTCGTGTTACAGGAGATTCATAGAAGAATATATAAGCGGAATATGTCAGGCCCTGTTCCAAGCCGTTCTCGAGTTTACCCTGACGTAAACACACAGAGACCTCGGGAATATTGGGACTATGAGTCACACGTTGTTGAGTGGGGGTAAGGAAATACGGAACTGTACAGTCTTTAGTCGTTTTTAAACTTGTTTTCATACATTTACATGTTGTTAATTTGGCCTTTTCTGTTCCGTCAGGAACCAAGATGACTATCAGCTTGTCAGAAAACTAGGAAGAGGCAAATACAGTGAGGTCTTTGAAGCTATAAACATCACAAACAATGAAAAAGTGGTCGTTAAAATACTGAAGGTACAACTCTGATAGATTATTTTTACCTTCATGCTGTCACTGTGAGGCTTTATCTAATTCTCACCACTCTTGTTTTACAGCCTGTCAAGAAAAAGAAAATCAAGAGAGAAATAAAGATCCTTGAGAATCTGAGGGGAGGTCCAAATATCATCTCACTCTTAGATATCGTTAAAGATCCTGTGGTAATTTGGGGCTTTTTCCCCTCTAAATCATCTTCTGTGTTGAATTTATGTTGAAGCATAACCACGCGTGTTCTCGTTGTTTCCCTGCTTAGTCTCGAACCCCAGCTCTGGTCTTTGAACACGTGAACAACACAGATTTCAAGGTAATCATTTTTTTATCTGTTCATTCCTTTTCTGTAGCATTTGACTTTGCTGAAAGAAAACTAGTTTTTAGTTTCATTCAACTTGGATTTTTCTGCTCAACAGCAATTGTATCAGACGCTGTCGGACTTTGACATCCGCTTCTACATGTATGAAATCTTAAAGGTAAGGGCGCTGGCCTTTAGCACCGTCATGTCGAAGTGGTTTGGCTTACTTGGCTTTAGCGTTTCCCTCTCCTGCTTTTAAACCCAAAAGGCTCTGGATTACTGCCACAGTATGGGCATCATGCACCGTGACGTAAAGCCCCACAATGTAATGATCGATCATGAACACAGAAAGGTACCGTTACAATTCTCATCTTCCTCACCAGCTCTGCTCAGGTGTTGAAATGTACTGAAAGCTGTTGTTTCAGCTCCGTCTAATCGACTGGGGGTTGGCAGAGTTCTACCATCCAAACCAAGAGTACAACGTGAGAGTGGCGTCCAGGTACTTCAAAGGGCCGGAGCTGCTGGTAGACTACCAGGTGAGGTCAAACATGGCCAGACTTCCTTCATTAGTGGAGAATCCACCAGGCGTCCTCACCACCTCGGTGTTCTGTTTCAGATGTATGACTACAGCTTGGATATGTGGAGCCTGGGCTGCATGCTTGCCAGCATGATCTTCAGGAAGGAGCCGTTCTTTCACGGTCACGACAATTATGATCAGGTATGACCAACGTAGTCTGGTCTTGTTATTATTATCCTCATATTAGTTATTTTTTATGTTTTATTGGTTTACTTTCTTAACGTACCTGGCTGTTTCTATGGCAGCCACATAAATTGCTATCTATTCATTCAAATGTGGTTATGTCACAGTAAATATTACAGATTTTTATTTTTTTAATGAAATCTTAACCATTTAAACCGTATGAAACCATCTTTTGTTGAATGAGACGTATCTGATTCTTGATTGAATAATGAAACCAGACGACGACTTTATTCAGCATAACTCCAAAACATGGGTGTAGATTTTCCGTCGTTCGTGACAGCAAATCGCACAGGAATTATCTTTGACACAGATAATTTTCTTCAGCGTTCTGCTTTGGTAAATCTCAGATGGAAAGTAAAAAGTTCTCTGATCCATTCGTAGGATCAGAGCTTCTTTAGAATGTGAAATTCCTGCAGCGGGTCCTGCCTCTCCTGGGTCCTTCTCTTCCCATCTGAACTCTATATCTTTATTTTTAAACTATACATGCAGGCATGCACCAGAGTGTGTAATAAGTGTCACACCCGGTGCGTGAGCGTTGGCATCTGTGTGACAAATGCCCCCCCCCCCCCCCCCCCCCCCCACCTGTTTGCTCACATTGAGGCTGTGAAAATGTTGGAGGTCTGATGTAAAAAGTGTCCTTCATCCGACACCGAGCTTGCTTGGTTCAGGACCGTTAGGCTTGCTAACGTTTTCTTTAAACGTATTTCCTGGCTCTGCACACATGAGCTCTGATGCTGTAAAGGCACTTAATGATGATTTTTACCTGCAGCTTGTGCGGATTGCAAAAGTACTTGGCACGGAGGACCTGTATGACTACATCGACAAGTACAACATTGAATTGGATCCACGATTTAATGACATCCTGGGAAGGTAAGACGTTTTGACTCTGGTGAAACAATTTGGGTGTTTTGATCAGAATTTGAGGTTTTTCCAGTTTAAAAAAAATTGTCCTTCGGTAGACATTCCCGCAAAAGATGGGAGAGGTTTGTTCACAGCGAGAACCAGCACCTGGTCAGCACAGAGGCGCTAGACTTCCTGGACAAGCTGCTGCGCTACGACCATCAAGCTCGCCTCACAGCCAGAGAAGCCATGGATCATCCCTACTTCTGTACGTTTGCCCCGAATCAGGACCGAGGGAAACGTGTTCATCTTCCTGTGAAAAGTCATTGCTTTGATCTTATCCTCTGCTGTTCGCAGTTCCCATCGTCAAAGATCAGGGAAGGGGGGCCACTCCTGGGGGAATGGCTGCCAGCTCCACTCCAGTCAGCTCCTCTAGTATGATGGCTGGTAAGTTGCTTCAAGCTGGTTTTGACTGTTAGGTGCAGTGGCGCAGCGCCTCGGCTGAGCCACTGTAAGGGAAACGCTGGGGACAGAAAGATCAGTGAGCCGACCCTCCCCATCTCGTCCCGGTGGTGGAGCAGAGCTATTGATTTTGTGAACCGATGCGCGATATATCGGCATACATATCGTATCGGTCCGATAAGTAAGGCTGGGCCGATCTTAACCGATATTTTTGGATATTCCATTATTCTTGTTGCTGTTTCAGAGGGTGAGGGGGCGATGATAGTCGCCATAATCACGAGGCATGCACCGTAAATCTGGCCATCAAAATCTTTCAGCCGTAAATGACCCAAAACTGCAGTTTTGGTTTTCGGCCAAAACCGCTAATTCACAGAAACAACATGGCCGAAAAATGCCGTCAGGTGAACCCCGTTTTTGTTTCATCTAGCTCCGAACTCTTGTGGCTACTTTCCCTTTGCTTCATGAAAATATCACATTCATACAGATTTCGAAGGTAAAGATTTCCCCTTTTAGTATTGCTGTTTTATTACGATTGTGGTTTTAATGCGGAACAATTTTGTTTTGGAGCGTAACAAGATAATGGTGAAGCAGCTCTTGCGTGACTGGTTTAGACCAATGCACATGCATTTAGTAAACAGAAATTAGGGATGCACCGATACCAATACTGGTATTGGTATCGGTGCAGATACCGATACGATACTGGTATCAGTAAAAGTTAACCGATACCAATGCAGTTGCTTGAAAATGGCTTTACCGTAACTTGTCATTTCTGTTCACCTAATATTTTAGTTTTGTGATGATTTCTATTCATATATTTTACTTTTTATCTACCTCACAGACTTTTCCTGTTGAAAGCAGAGAAGAAAATAAAATCTGTATTCCAAATCACTGCATTTTTTTGTGTGGTAGTCGGTAATCAGTATCGGCGAATATTCAGATCCAAGTATTGGTATCGGTTTGGAAAAAAAGGTATTGTTGCATCCCTAACAAATCCAACATGGCGGCGTGCTCAGCGTCTGAAAAAGCAGTGATTATGATTTTTATATCTCAGAAACTTCCAAATTTGTGAATAAAAATGATTTTTATGGAAACGTGGATCTGCAACACGCACGCGCGCGCTATCATTTCACTTTCACACACACGAATGACGGTGATTTATAGCTCGGTCACGTCCTTGTTACCCACAAGGAAAACCAGCATGTTAACCATATACGGTTTGAGAGAGGATCTGAGAGGGGTGGCAACATTTCCAGCAACACTGAAAACCCTCTCGGATGGAGCGCTCGTTGCACTAACGCACACGTACTTGCGTGCGACTCTGGCGAGCAAAGGGAATCTCTCCCGGTTGTTGCTCCACCATGTCGGGGGGGGGGGGTTCTTTAGGGTGGATGCATTCCTCCTGCAGGTAGCGAGTGAGCTCCAGCTAGGCTCAAACTCTCTTCAGGACGGTTGCAGAAGCAGTGCTTGTCCGGGACTTCAGTAGGTCTCCGAGCGTTTATTTATTTATTTAGTTTTTTTGCCGCTGGTGGCAGCTCTGTCTCGGCCAAGGACCCTGGCTGCGCAGCAGCTGACGTACTGAAAACCAAAGTGCTCCCAAAGGAGCGAAGTAACGTTTCGTTTTGATACCAGTGCAGCCATCCTTCTCAACATGCATCATTGAGTTGAACCAAGTTCAGTAATCGCGGTGGCGCATGATGCAGCGCGGTGGGCTTCTTCATATTGCGATATTTCATTTTTGCGGTTACCGCGACAGCCCTACTCTGCAGGCCCTTCAGTTATAAGCCTGTACATTTATAATTCATTAATTTATTTATAATTTATTATCATTTAATGTACATGAGTGGAGTCAAGTGAAATATTTTATTCAGAGTCTTAATTTATAATGTGTATTGTTATGTCAGTGCTAAAAATATTTTCATAGTTTTATTATAATTGATTTATTGCAATGCCTTGATTTTAGTGAGGTTAGTACCTATCGTAGCCATAAATGCAATGGTTCTAATAATTTCTTTTGGCGTTTCGGTTTTCGGCCATGGTTTCCTCATTTTGGTGCATCCCTAGTAATCATCTCAGAAGCGTGTGTGTGTGTGTGTGTGGTGAGCAGTGCTGGGAGTAACGGCATTTAAGTATAGTGTAGTTACTAATGGCATTATTTTTAGGCAGTGGAGTAATCTAATTAGTTTTCGCGTCTTTGCAGCACAATTACTCAGTGCGTTTACATGTCCACCAGAAAACCCAAGTATTGCCCTAAAAATACTTGCGTCGTTTATTTATTTTTTTAATGCATGTAAACATGTTCGCTTGGCTGAAAGCAAACTTTTTCTAATCGAGCTGAAGCATCCGGATAATGTGGTAGCCATCCGAATACACTCTGCATGTAAACGCATCCGCTGAGCTAATACAGAATAGACGCTTGCATTCCGGAAGTGACAAGACCGAGGAAGGCCGACTTGTGTAACACCATAAAACAGGACTGCAGCGCTGTTGTACTTTCCTTCAGCCATTGTGCTTATCCTGTGTCAGTTCTGTCTGCTTCTGGTTACTGCTTGTGTTGCTATAAGCTAACCGGAAGAATGTGGACATGAAAGGGGGCATGTCGCCACCTACTGTTCCGGAGTGGAACAAACTTTATTTGAGAGGCCGGTTTTCTAATGCACATGTTAACTAGGATAGCGACTCCCAGCTTATTGCAACAAAATCGACCTGGATCGACTTATGTTTGTCAGCGCCCATGTAACCGCACTGACAGTTACTGGGCATGTAAAGTGGCACGTTACTATATGTGGTTGAGTGAAGCACAGCGGTGGTCAGGCTCACTAACAGCCACATTATTGATGAGGCAGTTGCACACAAAACGGCTCTTGGGCCGATCAGAGCCAGTGTGAGTGACAGCGGCTGTACTGTCACCCTGAGCCGGTTTACAAACCGCAAAAATGAACACACAGCGCCAAACACATCGTGGTGTTTGTTTGCAGATTGAAGACGAGTTTGTGTGCAACACCAGTCATCTCCGATTGCTATTAAAGGGACTTTTCGGACTTTTGAATTTTTATGCTCACGATTGCCCCCTCAGGCCAACAGCGTAACGGCAGCTTCAATAGTAGGCCTGTGCACGAGGTGCGCATGCTGTACGTGCACACTCCTTAACGAAAGTAACAGCTGAGACAGTCAGCTCTGTGTGTGGCCCGGAGGACAGAAGAGCACAGCAAATTAATAAAAATAATGTCCCTCTGTCTCTGTAGCCGCACTTTCTCGTTGGCCGGCTGAACGTGCTGTGTGTGTGTGTGTGGGCGGGGGGGGGGGGGGGGGGGGGGGGGGGGGGGGGGACAGAGGACAGGAGAACACGCAGCTAATTAAATAATTTGGTTCTGTACCTTTCTCTTCAGCACAGCCGACAAAGGTTTATGATGGGTCAGTCCTCCTGCATGCTCAGATCATTCCCTTCCCTTGCTTGAAAAATTGTTCCAAAATGAAAGTTGAACCCACATCTTTTTTATCTGTGAATTCAATGCCGTTCGGCGAGTCTCAAATAAAAATGTGGGCATCTTACTGTAAAAAAATATACCATTAATGTAAAAACGAAACTAAACTATGTTCACATCCATAATCGAACCCAGGTCTTCTGCACGAGAGTCCGACGTTTTACTAGGTGAGCTAAAGCGTGAGTAACATCTGGCATATCTGTAACATTTATATCCTTGATGACAGCTGAAACAACGTTCAAAGAACGGTTCGGAGCGAAAATGGCTATTTTGTTGCTAATTTGCAGGAAATATCTAGAAGAAAGTTCTACAGAAAGTAGCTAAGGGTCCTCAGAAATGTAGCTAGCTTTGTCACTAGGCATTAGGAACAGCGACAAATTGGCACTGCTTCTCTCTCTGCTGCTAAAGCTACAGATAGCAAATGCTACGGGCTATGCCTGAGCGTGAACGCGCATGAAGCAGCCTGCTCGACCCGAGCATCTCTCTTTTTCTGTGATTTAACAGAAAAACAGGCAATCACAGTAAAAAATGCCAGGGCTCATTCTACAGGACCAGGGCATTGCAGGAGAATGTATGAAGAAGACATTTATTATTTCTATACATGTTTTGGCTGTCAGACTTCCTTATAGTCCCTTTAAAGCAGGGAGGGGGGGTGTGGCACGCAAATACCTGGGACAATTATTACGTTATCATGATGGGACCTGTAAATATTGGTGGGGACAAATATGTAAAAAAGGAGGAAAGAAAAATAAACAGTGAAAAGAAAACAGGCAAGTGGATACCAAGACTGTGGCAAGCCATATTAACATTTAATCAACATTCGGACCTCTCTGTAATTCCTATTTTACATAGCAATAATTTAATTAATCCGAGTACTAGTTGTATTCTTTTTAGTCAAAATGGCAAAGAAAGATGTCAACAGCTATGTCGTTATGATTTAAATTAGAATGAAAGATATCCGTAATAGCAACTGCACTAGTTGGAATTAAGTTTGAGATATTTTAGAATCTCTGAAAACCTTTTTAACATTTATTAGGCAGTCTGGATGTATTCCACATAACTACACTCACTGGCCACTTTATTGGGTACACCTGTCCAACTGCTCATAACACAAATTACTTATCAGCCAATCACATGGTGGAAACTCAATGCATTGAGGCATGTTGACGTGGTCAAGATGATCCGCTGCAGTTGAAACTGAGCTTCAGAACGAGATAGAAAGGTGATTTATGTGACTTTGAACGTGGCATGGTTGTTGATGCCCGACGGACTGGTCTGAGTATTTCAGAAGCTGCTGAAATGACATAAGTGCAATACTTAAAGAGAAGCCTTTCCCATTTCATGCTGTCAGCAATGGCTCCACATGGAAGAGAAATGTCACAAAATCTGAGAAAGGAAATCTTTTCTTTGCATGGTGCCAAGAATCCTCTCCCTGGGCTGCCACCTTACCGTGGTGTAGGGGTTTGAGTGTCTCAATGCTCCTAGGTGCTAAGTTGTTTGAGGCTTTCTGCCACTTGTAGGGTCACCCATGGCAACCAGGTCCTAGGTGAGGGATCAGGCAAAGAGGAGCCCAAAGACCTCTTATGATGAATTATATAAATGGAAACCGTGTTCCCTCGCCCGGACGTGGGTCACCGGGGACCCCCTCTGGAGCCAGGCCTGGAGGTGGGGCACGTTGGCGAGCGCCTGGTGACCGGACTTTCACCCATGGAGCCCGGCCGGGCACAGCCCGAAGAGGAAACGTCGGTCCCCCTTCCCATGGGCTCACCACTCGTGGGAGGGGCCAAAGGGGTCGAGTGCCGTGTGTGATGGGTGGTAGTCGAGGGCGGGGCCATTGGCGGTCTTATCCTTGGCTACAGAAGCTGGCTCTTGGCACATGGAATGTCACCTCTCTGGTGGGGAAGGAGCCTGAGTTGGTGTGTGAGGTTGAGAGGTTCCGACTAGATGTAGTCGGACTCACCTCAACGCATGGCTCTGGCTCTGGAACCAGTTTCCTTGAGAGGGGTTGGGCTTTCTACCACTCTGGAGTTGCTCCCACTGAGGCGCCGAGCAGGGGTGGGCATACGTGTTGCCCCCCACCACCACCACCACCACCACCTTGGTGCCTGTACATTCACCACCACCACCACCTTGGTGCCTGTACATTGGGGTTTACCCCAGTGAATGAGAGGGTAGCCTCCCTCCGCCTACGTGTGAGGGGACGGGTTCTGACTGTGGTCTGTGCTTATGCACCAAGCTACAGTTCAGACCACCCACCCTTTTTGGAGACCTTGGAGGGGGTGCTGGAAAGCGCTCCTTCCGGTGACTCCCTCGTTCTGCTGGGGGACTTTAACGCTCACATGGACAACGACAGTGAGACCTGGAGAGGTGTGGTTGAGAGGAACGACCCCCCCCCCCCCCGATCTGAATTTGAGCAGTGTTTGGTTATTGGACTTCCGTGCCAGTCATGGATTGTCCATAGTGAACACCATGTTCAGACGTAAAGGTGTGTGTGTGTGTGTGTGTGTGTGTGTGTGTGTAAGAATATCTGTTATCAGTCATAATGAAGAAATTAATATTGTATCGGCCCGAAATCTCAAATCAGTTCACCTCTGGTTTTTTACGGTTTTACGTTTCCACAAAGTGACTTCAGGGTCCTAGAACTCACATAATGATGTGTAGAAAGGTCTTCATCTGTGCCGTTTGCAGCCCCAGCCCAGTGAGATGCTGGCTTCACACCAGCTGAAGTTCAACAAAAGACGTTGTGTTTCTAGAATTCAGAAAAAGGCAGCCGAGCAAGACAAGTCACAAGTTTTGTCCCACATTCAAGTGTTAAACACAACAATCCTTTTTTCCCCCTCTTTTTCAGGCATCAACTCCATGTCCTCCTCACAGCCGCTGGCTAACATTGCTGGATCGCCCGTCATCTCTGCCCCCAACACTTTGGCCACTCAAGTCCCTGCAGCCACCGGGGCCCAACCCTGAAACCACTTCCTGACTTGTGTTAACGTGTGCTTGTGGCCGTGTCCTGCAGCCCAGGGCTATGGCTTCCCTTTTTATGTTGGAAAAAGTAACAAAGAAGAAGATTAAAAAAAGAAGAAAAAAAGCTTTTCACGTTCAGTTCTTTTTTTTTTTTTGACATAAATTTGACAGAAGCGCCTTGCTGCGCATGTCAGGTTGGTTAGAAGTTAATTTGGGTTTGATATTTGACAATGCCATTGTCTAGAAATTCTAATAAGATGTAGACATAAAGAGAATGGATAATAAAATTTATTTTGTACGTTCCAAATATACAGTCTTGCTTGAAACTGTTTTGATGGGGAATCCTGCTGTATCACACTGTGAACCTTTACATGACTTCACAAAAACAGTCAGGAATCTGGAGTGTTCCCACCCCCTCCCACCCCTAAACGACGGCGCTCGCTGGCTGCGCACCAATGTAAAGTGCAGGAGTCTGTTAGTGTTTATTTGAAGTTGTTTAGATGCTATTCTCATCCTTCAATTGGACTTATGTAGATATTCTACAGTTACTGTCTGGTTGCATGCACCCAATGCTGAGTTTCACAGGGTCAATAGATTGCCAACTTTATGTTACTTTCACTTCTGTATGTGTATGTAAGTGTCCATGTTTGTTTTTTATGAAGTCTCTTACACATGATTTTGATTACATAGAGGATTTTGTAACGTTTTTGTTTTATGTTGAGAAGACTCATCACCTACAGAAAAACAACTTCAAAAATAAACGATTTAAACAGGATATTTCAGGCACTACCTTATTGACTATAACACCTGCCGACTGGTCGAGGTCGTCTAGGAACGAACGGATTTAAAACTAGGCGGTGAGAGGACGTTAGGAAAGGCTTTTTACGGGATGATCCTGGAGACTATTTAAATCCTGATGTTCAAATCTGAACAAACTGAATATTTAAAAAATCTTGATCCTGACTTCCTAAAAGGTTGCTGGAGTGCGGGGCCGGTGGGACAAGTGCCTTTGTTCTACAGGCTGAAGTCTGCTGCTGATGGTAGCTACAGACCCAACATCTGTTTGACCCTTAAATTTTCATTTCTTCAAACTCAACCTCCCAAATAAAGCTGTAGGCAGCAGGACCCATTAAAACGAGTTCCATAGTTTCAAAAATTCAATAGAAAATACTTTATTAATAATATTAAATGATTTAATAATTTAAATTTTTAGATTTTGAACCTTCAAAGGTCATATTGTCATTCAGTTTGAGGGTTTGTTTTGTCATGTTGATTTATTGTTCCTTTTTGTCAGAGGCCTACAACTTTACAATAATTTCACTAAAATGCTGATCACGATGTAAGAACTTGGATAGTAAGCACAATGCCTGTCACGTGCGCGTTACTTAGTTTTATGTTTTTCCTAGTATTTTTGGTGTTTGTTTACATCTGTTTTAGTGTGTGGCCATTTTGTGTTGCGTTCATATGTCTGTCGTTTTCTGGCACTTTTCATCATGTCTCGTTTTACCTCTTAAGTCATGAGATGCGTTAGTTGTTTATTTGCTGTTGTATTTAATCTGTTTTAGCGTAATGTAAGCAAAACGCGGGGTTCAGTCTGTGAATAGAGCGGTAACGTTAGCATCTTGTATCATGATCATGATGCGTATGATGCATTCAGGTACCTCCGCGTTTACCGCGCTTTCCTTGCACAACTAGCAAAAAACGCGAAATACAGCTAACTTGATTTTGTAAATAGAAAATGAGTTATATCAATTTATCACTTTACAAACACGTCAAATTTTAGGAGATGACGAATAAACGAGTATGCTCCTTCACGGACAGAATGACCACTTCTATGCTGATTTAAACATTCTAGCATCAAGGCTGAGTGTAGAAATGTCCGATGGTTCTGAACGCAGCGTCGGAATTGCCTGCGGTAGCATTCCTCGCGCGCCACTACAGACGTAAAGTTTAAAACTCGGCTTCTTGTTGGGGAAAATGGGAAAATTAGTCTTTATTTCGATTGCAGTTGCAGTTGTAGCGGTGCTGATTGGAGAGAGGATTATCAATATAAGGTAATTTAGGAAGCAAATGAATTAACGTCGTTTTAAGCTTTAACACAGACAGTGTTTACCAACAGTTGCAGTCAATAACCTGTGTTGAAACTGCAGCAAAAGGTACCTCGCCTTCAGAGAGGTCACACTGAATCATCTGCCCAACTGTGTTGCACTGAAAAACCTGGGTGAGCATTTTAAAAATAAAAAGGCAAACACAGACGCTTATTTTAAGAAAGGTTAAAACATTTTCTTAAAAGCAGCGCTAATTGTCCCCCCAGATCACGGAACGGAGGATATAACGATCCTGGGTCACGGGCTGGCCTTTATCAGCACTGTGAGTATTCAAACTGCAACACAGATGAACTCATTCCGTCTGCTGGTCAAATTCACCATTATTATCTCAGCAAATGAGTGTTGGTAAAACAGTGGTTGCAACAAAGAACGGAGCTGAAAGTCTGCTGTGGGTGTTGATGGTATACTTGCATATAAACTGGCTGTGTTTAAAGTCACAAAAATAAGCATAATTATAATAAAAATAAACCTGCATTGTCTGTGTGAACATGTGAAATAAAAGCATGTATTACAAGAGTTCAGCTCAAAATGCCCACGCCCAAAGACGAATAATAAAATCACCCCTCTGGGCTGAGGTTCATGCACAAAGTCAGAAACATTCTGATGAATTGGGCTCAAAATTTCATTCATTGTTATTCATCTCGATATTTATTTATTACATTTTGAATATTTTCAGGGCCTAAAATATCCTGGAGTGCCATCTGGTGATGTTCCAGGAAAAATCTACACGGTTGATCTCAACGATCCTCTTCTGAGACCAGTGGAGCTACGTATGCCAAGGAACTTTGATCTGGAGTCATTCAACCCTCACGGCATCAGCATATACATCGATCCGAGTGGTAAGCCTAAACCCAGTGCGTCTATGGAAATGGAATACGAGGCTGCAAAAATCGTACTCGAGTATCCCAACGTTACATTAATATTAGTTACATTTTTGCATGTAATTACTTCAGCTTTGAGGATTGACCTGTTTGTTTTCTTGTTGGTCACGTCCCTGCTTTCTCACGTTTGCATCCTAAAAGTTTAGTGAGAACATTTTTTTCTCTTATTTTTCAGATGATGCAGTGTTCCTCTTTGTCGTCAATCATCCTCAACACAAGAGCCAGGTTGAGCTGTTCAAGTATGTGGAGGAAAACCGCTCCCTGATCCATCTGAAAACCATTAAACACGAACTTCTGCACAGGTGAGTCATGAACTCCTGTATTGTCTTATTCTGTCTAAGAGAAACCTTTAGATTGTATTTTGCCTCTGCAGTGTAAACGATATAGTTGCAGTGGGACCTGAGAGTTTCTATGCCACCAATGATCACTACTTCACTAATGAAATCCTCAAAAGTTTGGAGATATATCTGCTTCCGCCTTGGACCAATGTTGTGTACTACAGCCCTAAGGAGGTGAAAGTGGTGTCAGATGGCTATACCTTTGCAAACGGGATCAATGTGTCTCCAGACCAAAAGTAAGAGTGATCTGATGGAGTGTGCACACAGTTATTTGTGTCTGAACTTCCCACATTCATTATTTTCCTCATTTACAGGTATATATATGTAGCAGCTATATTTGACCACCATGTGCATGTGTTGGAGAGAAAGGAAGACAACTCATTGGTTCCTGTGAAGGTAAAAGGAATCAACGTGAATGTTGGGTGGTGCACTTTGTTTACAATGTTGTAGAGAATCAGTTCTTCAGTCAGCTTTAATAATAAAACTCAGATTTAAAATAACCTTTGCACTGAACACCTAAAACCACTTCTGTACAAAGGTGATGAACTGCTCATCTCTCTTACTTATTAAATACAGCACCTTGAACAACCTCAGATTAGAGAAATAAAGATCTAGATGTTGAGCTAACAGCTAGCTACAACCAGTGACTGTAAAAATGATGATCAAGCCCCACCCATAGCTCTTTGTGGAGCTGTTTTGAAGCCAAATGGGCGGTTCCAATTAGGGATGGACAATATATCTGCATCAATACCGGTATCGGCCGATATTAGTCATTTTTTAACATATCAGTATCATTCCAATAAATTAAACCGAGCCAATATTAACAACCAATATTTTTTCCATCTTGTCTCCATTTGTTTGTCTGTTTCAGAGGGTTGGGGGGCGGGATGTGTATTTGTTTAGTCAAGTGAACAGTGAATGAAATCATCTCAGAACCAAATGTGTGTGTGTGTGTGTGTGTGTGTGTGTGTGTGTGTGTGTGTGTGTGTGTGTGTGTGTGTGTGTGTGTGTGTGTGTGTGTGTGTGTGTGTGTGTGTACATAATACCGTAAATTTGGCTTTAAGAATTTTCATTTGATACAAAATTGCTGACTTTAGAAGTATTGATGTCAGCATATCGGTTATCGGCCATAACAGTGATATTAACATCAGATATCGGTATCGGCCCAAAAATTTCATATCGGTGCATCAGTTCCAATCACAGCCATCCTGGCCGTGTCACACATCTCGTCACACCCAGACAATCCAAATATGGGAAAAGAGGTGGAGCTGAGAGTGGGGCTGTGAGAGTGGGATCAAACGACTGACACCCAAAAACTCTGAGCCAATGTAGCTATGAGCTAACCCGAAGCTACACAGAGCATGGAGCTAACAGGGGTAGCTATGAACAACCTGAGCTTACCCGAAGCTAATGGAGGTTTTCGGGCCTAATTCCTTTAGCCAGAAAAACTCTGTTAGCCACTGCTGAAGGGCAAAACTCGACAAACCTCCCTTCTGTAGCGACAACCTTGCAGCTCTTTGACTGCCTGGAAACTTTAACTAGCCTCGGCCAGCTTACCTAGTTTGAGTCTTGTATCTAGCCAGCCCCACCAATACGTCATATTTCAACCCTTCTTTGACCAAGCAGTGTTGTGTTAAATGCACAAACACACAGAGAACGCAACTTAAGTTCAGATAATCAAAACATCTGTTAACGTGAGTCCCAGGCTGAGGCTCTTGCTGGAGGTGTCATTTGGAATTCTAGGATGTCCAAGGAAGGTCCCGCCTTTCTCACCTCTGATTGGCTGGAAGGGCTCTACCACGATTGGCTGTTTTGTGTAAGAGGAAACTTCACTACAGGTTTTTATGTTTACAGCCAGATGTTGAGGAGTTTTTGAAGAAAATGTGAACTCGCCGCTATAATAAACATCCTTTCCTGTTTAGCAACAAACCAGGTTCAGTTTCTTTCATAAAAGGTCCTGAAAAACATCAAATGTGAACTTGTAATAAATCTGGTTGTATTTTATCACACTGTACACTGACTTTATATCTGTTGGCTCTATTAGGATTATCTCATTACTTCATTATTGAGCTATCCCACTTTAATAGGTTAAAGCTGTTTACAAGTTAAAGCTCATCTCTCATCATCAGATTAAATGTGTATCATTTAATCAAAAATTAAGTTAAAGCTGATTATGATTTAGACCTATTTTTCACCAGTTTGCATTATTCTAGAGAAGAAACAGACCTGATGCACACAGCTGGGCAGAATAGGGCAGTTTTATTAAATGTCATACCCAGGTGAGGCACATATTTTTATCCTATGCACTCTAATGCTTCAGAGCCAAGAGATATAAAGTAAGTCCAACAGTTTGATAAATGCAACAAGATTTAAAATTCACATTTTACATTTTTCAGTTTTTTTATGAAACAAAATATTTAGCAAACCAGGACAGAATGTTTATTCTAGCGCTAAGTTCACATTTTCTTTACTAAACTCCCCAACACAGCTTTCTGCTGCTGGCAGAAGGACACAGTCAGCACTTAGCGAGGACAGCCAGTTTGCTGTTAAATGAAATAGCCAATTGTAGTAGAGCCGTTACAGCCAATCAGAGACGAGAAAGGCAGGATCTTCCTTGGACATCCTAGAATTCCAAATGACGCTTCCCGGAGCTAGCCGCTAGCGTTAGCTCTGACGCTCATGCTATCTTTCACTCAAAACTAATTAGTCATAATTTCATGCATTTAATTACACCTAAATGTGTCACGATGAGAGGTTGGAGGAGGAGGAGTAGGACCCAAAATGCAGATACCCCGAATGACTCGGAGCAGGAGAGGATGTAAAATTAGACATCTTTATTAAGAAAACTAAATGGGGCACAAAACCAAAAATTCCTAGAAGGGCAGAAGCCAAAAAACCTAGCGACCTAAGAGAGGAGGAGGACAAAACAACGCTGACACATACAATGAACCAACACCACACTGAGACGCAGACAGGGTGAAATACACTGGTGTGTGGGGAGAGAAACCTGGTGAAATCAATTAACTAATCAGGGAGAGGAAATTGAGCTTAAGAGGGGAAAATAACACGACCTAAGAATAAAAACAAAACCTAAAGACAAGAAGAGCAAGATGAATAACTAATGATCTATTAATGTTGAGGTGCAAGGATAAAAAAGCTACACAGAGCAGATGAAGCTCTTGCTTCTTTTTGAATAGATCAGCTGAGACTCACGATGACTCTTGCTGCCATTTCTTGGATTTTAGTAGTTGCGTCAGTTAAGTTAGTATGGTAGTTGGTCGAAGTAATCAGTGTAATCTCAGTAGTGCAACTGCCCAAAGCGTGCGTTTTGTTTACTGGCAGTGCAGGGTGATGTGCTTAAGAGTCCAGAACCCAGGTGTGTCTGTGAATTGGTCAGCCAGCTTTCTACAGCAGCACCTTTGGACAATTAGACCCTTTGAAGGTGATAAATAAAAGTGCATTTATTCATATAATTCTGTCTTTTACTCCTCACCAGTCTGTGGCTGTTGGTTCACTTTGTGACAACATTGAGGTTGAGCCTGAGACTGGTGACCTTTGGATGGGCTGTCACCCCAACGCAAGAAAGATCTTCCTGTTCGACCCCAAAGACCCACCAGGATCAGAGGTTTGACCGTTCCCTGTTATCATGGCCAGCTGTGAAAATACTAAAATAGTAAAAGTAGAAATTTCTCTTTGCTTTATCTGATACGAGGTTGTAACGGTGTACTTCTCCTGACTGTTTTGTTTGGTGAACAGGTCATCCGGATCCAGAACATTCATTCGGACCATCCTGTGGTCACTCAGGTGTATGCAGATGATGGTCAGGTGATCATGGGCTCCTCTGTGGCAGCCCCCTATGGGGGGAAGCTGCTCATTGGCAGTGTGTTCCACAAAGGCTTGTGCTGTGATTTAAAGTAGATTAAAGTGTTTTAGAGTTAATTAGGAATTTCAATCATGGAAACCATGGGGTAGGTTTTCCTCCACTGAACAGACCGCGATGATTTTGATCAAACATCAGCATGGATGATGTAGGAAATGGTTGTGGAGAATAAGGTTTACTATAATTACTGGATCTGAAAACAGAAAATCTCAGGTTAAAGCAATCATTTAGATGTTTTAAACGGGCCGGTATCCAGCACGTTTTGGTTTTAACCCTGCTTCAACACACCTGATTTCTATTAGGTGATTAACAGGCATCTGCAGAGCCTGATGAGCTGCTGCACAGGTGATTGAACCACGAAATCAAGTGTGTCGGAGCAGAGAAACTACTTAAACGTGCTGTACAACGGCCCTCGACATGGATGTAGTTTTGACTTTAGAAGTGTGTGTGTGTGTGTGGTGGTGGTGGTGGTGGTGGTGGGGGGGGGGCACAACTAGCATAAGGACGGGGGGGGGGGGGGGGATTTTTACAGTAATTATACAAAATATATGTCAGGCATGCAGACGTGTTTTTGGACGGTAAAATGAGCAGGGGAGAAAATTTGACTTTGGAAAAAGTGGGTGGGGGGGACATGTCCCCCTCAAAAACTATGTCCATGGCCCTCGAGGCCCAGAATTAAATCGCCCTGAGTTACTTAAGTCATTTAGTTCTAAAAAGGGATGTATTTGCCTCTTCTTCCACAGTCTATGGTGGACTGCCCTGTTGACTGACATCGGTAGACGGGAGTGAGTCCCGTTGTCTGATTGGCCCTAGCGCTGAACAGTTGTGTGCAGTGACAGTTTGATAGAAAACCATAGACTCTGCCCCTACGAGGGATTAGTTTCAATGGTTCATGTCCAAACTATATATATACTGGATGGCTTGCCAGGCTACATCTTACCTGTTAGGGCCGTGATACACTTGCTGTTTGACCTCGCGTTGGCCCAGGCTGCGTCTTTGTTCATATACTTGCGGCTGCACTGCACTGCACGTAGTACTGGAGTGTTCCACTTGGGGCGCACTACACTACTCTGCCCGGACAGAGAGCCGGTGTCGGTACAGTATCTGCTCGGGTGCAAGATCGGCTCGGGGTCCTTCGACTGCCGATGACGTCAAAGTACGGCAAACCCACTCGGACAAAATACACTACACATCTATACTGTTGGAAAGAATTTAGCAGTTTCGTTATTAAAATAATGTTTCTTAAGACGTAAGTTTGTGTTTATAATAGTATTTGTAAAATAAAACACTATATTTGATTCATGTTGAACACCTCTTTGAGCACATCCCTTGAAGGATCATAGGTATTAGCAACACCTGTGGAATTGTATTTGCAGGAAAGAAGTGTGTCCCATTTATTGAAGTATTTGTGTAGCGCCAGTGCCCTATACACTGGCACTACCTGGTAGCTGTTGCGGGTGGTCTTTACGTGTGCTTAAAGAAATGCAGCTTGAGTTTATTTCCGATGATGTTTATTATTTTGTCTGGTTCCAAAATGTCCATGATGATCCATTTACAGCAGTTAAAGTGGGTTTCAGTGCATGCGTTACTTGCCCCAATGACAATCCGCAGAGTCCGTTACACCCAGCCACAGTCCTCGCCACACAGTAAAAAACAGTTTGTCCCATCCAGCCACACCTGAGTCCAATCTGTGTTGGCTTAAGTAGGCTGGTGCTTCCACAAGCAATTAACCAATAATATTAGGCCAAGCCTCCTCTCAAGTGCAAAAAAAAGAAATGACACATATGGCTCCTACACGCCAGCCCCTAATTGCGCATGGCAGAAGACAAAGCAATTACAATAACTTAAAATACAGGAGCCATTATAAAACACAAAAAACACCAATACATAATAAAAAGAAACAAACCAAAAGACCCGTACTACCTTTTGCAACCTAATCTTCCCCTTCACACACTAAACATAGTTTAGTTACTGGTCTCTCGATAATGTTAGTCTTGGTTTGAAGGCGAACCACTCGAACCAAGCCCTTCTTGTCAGGAAACGTTTTAAGGACTTTCCCTAACACCCATGATCCTCTAGGAGTGGTGTAGTCCATAACTACAACTATGTCTCCCACTTCTAAACCTTTTTTTCTTTTGATCCATTTTGGTTTTCCTGCATTGGTGGCAAGTACTCCCTGATCCATCCCTTTTTTTTCTTTTCATTTTTTTTTTGTTTTTCTTCTTTTCTTTTTTCTCTAACAGGTTTCAATGGGGCTACTCTAGTCTTGCCAAATAGAAATGAAACTTGCATCTCTTCTTTGTCATTTTTGAGTCTGAGGTAAGTAGCTGTACTGTACCCATTTTCGCTTGCATCAGAGAAGGGAAGCATTTGTGTGCCGATGTTTTGAAGCACATTTCTCTTATTGCTAGTCCACTGAGTTAAGGTAAAACCTCCCTTGCTGCAGATGGACGTAAGGTCCTTTGCCATGGTGACTGCATCCTTTTCTGGTGGCACACTCTCTAGCTGTGTTGAACACTTCATTACCTTTTTTTCCTCCCTTGACATTTCCTCTTGCCCAATGCAAGATTCCTCCACAAAGTCATGATTGTATTGACTGATGATTAGCAACCGTTCAAGCTTATCCACTGAGGTTTGGTTTACTTGAACCAATGGGTACTGACTTGTTCCACGGTAGACATCTTTGGCTGAACCATTTACAACCCAGCCCAACAAACTTCGAATGGCATAAGGCCCTTCACCCTGACTGTTTATGACCTCCCAAGGTTCTATTAATTTGGAAGCGTTTGTTCCCTTTCCAACTTCTAGTTCTCCGTGAGATAATTTCTTGCTGCCTTGTGCTGCAAGTGTAACATTGGGTTCTTTAGCTGCAGGTTTTAATCCTTGCAAAGTGAGGGACTGGCTTGGTGGAAGAAAGACTCCAGCCTCCGTGTGGTCTAAATCAACTGAGACAGGTACGGACTTCTCCAAATCTGACACCTTTGCAATTTGCTTAAATGACACCTCTGATTCTTGCCGTTGAAGATCTTTTACTTTGGGTTTTGTACCCGTTCTTATGTATGACTCCATGCCATCTGAACACCGGGAGACCGATGCACTACCTTTAGTACTACCCTCTAGCACAGACAGTCTAGCATTAGCAGCAGCAATTTTGGTGCTCATCTCTAATTGTTCCTTTTTCCTTTTAAGCAAATGTTCTTGTTCTTCAATAGCATGCTTCTCCTTTAAAGCTGCAGCACATGCTACTAATGCAGCCTTTTCTGCTTCAGCCTTTAGTCTTGCGGACGATGTGGAAGACTTACTAATTGCAGTAAATAAAGAACCTTTTTTACTCCGTGAGCCTCTTGAATCAACTTCATTTAAACACTTCATTTTTCAGTAAGTTGATGTTTTGTCTTAGTTTGCTAAGCTTATTTAGCTTTTTCTTCCTTTCTTCTTCCAAGTTACCAATCTTCATGACCAAAGCTTTGGCTGTTAATTTAACTTCCCTTTTCTCAGCTGATCTATACCCCAAAGCAAAGTTCTGTTCCCCTTGGAGCTCAACACCAACATTTTCCTCTTCTGCCATGACAAGTGGAACGTCTTAAACCTTTGTCCAAACAAAACCCTTAAGAAATTTCACCTTCACAAGTCACTGTCTTTATTCTTTAATGGCTAAGCCCAGTGTTCGAGGTTACCTCTTGTGCTTCAATGTACTTTTACCGCACTGTTGCTCCTCCAATGCGATGACGCTCCTTCGATGCGCACCTCTTCAGCGATGAGCTACTCCTTCCACTGCGCGCTGCTGCTCCAGCGATGAAGTTGCCAGACGCCTGCTCCAGTGGCAGGACGCTTGCTGCTCCTTCCGCTGCGCGCCGTCGCTCCAGCGTTGAGGTCGCTCAGTGGATCCAACGCCGAAGTCTCCTGCCCCAATGACAGGATGCCCGCCGCCCCTCTGATGAGCGGTGCTCCGCTGCAAGTCGCTCTTTCTGTCGCGCACCGCTGCTCCAGCGATGAGGTTGCCAGACGCCTGCCCCAGTGGCAGGAAGTTCGCTGCTCCTTCCGCTGCGCGATGCCGCTCCAGCGATGAGGTCACTCAGCGGATCCAACGCTGAAACGTCTGCCCCAGTGGCAGAACGCCCGCCTTTCTTCCGCCGCGTGCCACACCTTTTGCGCTGAGCTGCTCCCTTGATGTGCGCTGGTCTGCCGCCCGCCGCTCCAGCGACGGTCCTTCAGATGCGCACCGCTCTCTGACGCGCGCTGACCCTTCAGTGACGAGGCCGCACAGCTGATCCAACGAAGACACCTCTGCCCCAATGACCGAACGCCCGCCGCTGTCTGCTGATGTGCTGCTCGTTCTACGATGAGGGAAGGACAGCCAGATCCCACGCAGAAATGCCTTCTGTCCCAATGACAGCTCGACGCTCCGTGCTTCTTTCAGACGCGCCGTTGAAGCGCGCTGTTCCTCCAGCGATTAGGAAACCGCCGATCCAATTACGTCTCTGCTGCCATGATTGCAGAGGACGCCAAACTTCCTTCGCCGACGGGACAGTTTTTTACCTTGAAATGTAGCGCCAGTGCCCTATACACTGGCACTACCTGGTAGCTGTTGCGGGTGGTCTTTACGTGTGCTTAAAGAAATGCAGCTTGAGTTTATTTCCGATGATGTTTATTATTTTGTCTGGTTCCAAAATGTCCATGATGATCCATTTACAGCAGTTAAAGTGGGTTTCAGTGCATGCGTTACTTGCCCCAATGACAATCCGCAGAGTCCGTTACACCCAGCCACAGTCCTCGCCACACAGTAAAAAACAGTTTGTCCCATCCAGCCACACCTGAGTCCAATCTGTGTTGGCTTAAGTAGGCTGGTGCTTCCACAAGCAATTAACCAATAATATTAGGCCAAGCCTCCTCTCAAGTGCAAAAAAAGAAATGACACATATGGCTCCTACAATTTGTGTTGAGTTTTTGACGTCTTGTCCATGCGTAGTTCAGTTACGCTCATAGCTGCTAGCCAAAGCTCTGGAGTTAAAAGTTTTCTGGCTTTACTAAAATACCTGTCTGTACTTATTTGATTGATGGTAGTTTTACTTTCTATTAGACTCCAAATGTAATCATTTGGCACGTTTCTAATTCATAATTTGTAATAATGTAATCGGCGATATTAGCATTAGCATTCCTATGGGTTTTTCCATGTATATTAGCATTGCGCTAACCACTCGCTGCCAAATTGCAGCCTTTGCCATTAGAAAATCTTCTTTTGTCACATCGCAATTTAATTGCACATGCAGTTAATCGTTCAGCCCTAATATACATGCAGCTCTATGCTAAAAGTGTATTTTCAAAGAGGTAATGATGGATTTCTTTGTAAAAGTTGTCCATCTTTCCAATAGAAAAAATTTGCCTGGACCGTCACGTGATAACAACGTTACGTGATTACGTAATTCCGTAAGGTTCATGTTCAGCCAATCAACTACTTAGACGTCATCGGCAGTCGACGGACCCGAGCCGATCTTGCACCCGAGCAGATCTTGTACCGACACCGGGTTTGTGGGGAAAACCAAAATGGTTAATATTTGAGTTCACGACAAAAAGAGACAGCAGCAGTATCGAAGATGGTATGAAAGACCTCTAAACCAGAGACACAGTCGTTTTGTTGACTCCACCTACTGGTTACTCATATATTGCAGTGTTCAGACGTGTCGCATTAATTTCAGGGGTCGCGCACAAACTTCGCTTCAAATCAACGTTAGTAATGCGTGGCAGCTGGTATAAGCATGCATTTGTGTCATCATACAGCAAGTACATCACGGCCCTAACAGGTAGCACTTTGAACAGCCTCACTTTGAAGAGATGTTATGTTTTGGCAGTATTGCCTAGTAGTAACAGCTAGTTGAGGCAGGGCTATTACTAAACATTTGATATTAGAGTTGATTCAAAATGGCAGAAATTCACTTTGGAACCAACTCTGCTTGGATAAGCCAGGTCATCAAACTGAGCTAATCTTTGTTTCTCCAAACTGAGGCCATTCATAGTGCTCTCAAACTGATAAGCTATTAATTGTCCTTAATATTTTCCAAAGACCCCACCTTAAATGATCTGTAGCATCCCTTTAAGGATCCCCCAGGAGACGCTTGAGGAAGATGGTGCTGAAGCAGCATGCTAGTGGTTTAACTCAGGTACCGGCTAATTAGTTACAAATGTCTACAAATGAAATGTTTACAAAACTTAGAAATACTGGAGCTTATTGTGGTTTGATTCTGGCTTGTGTATCATATGAACCCTTCTTTCTGATCTGGTAAAAACAGACTTGTTTTCATGAGGTGTTTTACATTATTTAGTATTACCATAATTGTTTTATCCCTTGTAATTATTTTTAAAACGAAGTGAGTCGTTCTCTGAAAACATGTGGTCAGTGTGCCGATGAAAATAAAAAGGATTTTTGCAGCAAATTTCAAATAAAGGAATCAGGAGTTTCTTGTTGTTTTCCTCCTAAATGAAACATGTGACTGATGAGCTAAAGGCTGGTCAGTGTACATCCAGTTACAAAGTGTTTTTGCTTTCATTTTTAAAAAATGCCTAAAAAATTTTGTTTTTATCATTAGACCACCATAAAACCCGCATGGATATTTTTAGAGCTTACTAAGCTACCACACAATTTCTAGCTGGGCTTTTATAAATTTGTCAAAGTAATGAAAAACTTTGAAAGTAGCAAATATAAATATTATTAATTGACATTTGGAAAAACAGCTATGACGTTTTTTTTAAATTGGAACTGTTCAGGACACTTTTTAAATGGCTTCATTGTGATTTGTTTGATTAGAACCAATCTCTCTTTCTCCATACTGAGGCTGTTTAGACTTATCTAGAACAGTAATTGTTCCTAATATTTGCTCAGAGACTCATTTCAAAAGATCCGTACTATCACTTCACACTGTTCTTTTGTAATATTAATCTTGAATGGGGAGTCATAAGTCACACCCACCTGCTTGTGGTCCATGGGTCACAAATATGAATAAGAGTCAACAAAGCAATAAAAGTTTATTTCTGATCACCTTTGAGACATCCCATGGATTTAAATTTTGATGTCTGTGAATTTGAAGAAAGGACTTATTTTGGACAGGTGGCAAAAGTGACTTTAGGTTTTGTGTGGAAGACGTCGTGGACTACAGCTACTCGTCTCACAAAATTTATGTCATCAAACCGCAGAGGAAAAGGAAAAATGGCTGTGAGTTTGGCGAGCTTTGCACCTTTCTTCCAAAATGACAGGAGCATTAAATGACTAAATCTGGCCATGTGGAAAGTGTCAGCCAAGCTGGTAGACGTTCTGATGTGACGTCATGTGTGACTTCAGATTTGTAGTCTATGAATTTTTACAAGTAAATAAATCTTGAATGATGTGGTGGACATAGTTGAAACACACACACTTTTATCATTTAAATTAAAGTACAGCATGTGATTTTCAGGTCCCTTACACCATGTTTTCCTCCAGCCCATGACTGAAAAAAAAGATGCAATAAAAATCAAATAAAAAAAATGAAAGAGGCGTTAAAAGTTAGATTTTCTTTGGTCTGCTTTACTTTATACCCTGAATATCACATATGCTTCCATTTAAATTGGGCGTTTCACATTCCTGTCACATGATGTGAGCAGACGAGGAACGATATCTTGAGGGGGACACATTTCGACACAACACGGGTGTGTTCGCGCATTTAGGAGCAGTTTATCGTGGTTCCAAACATGGCTGCCATGCAGAAACTTCTGATATCTGCTCTTGTGGCTGCTCTGGCTGTGTTTGTTGGACATGCGTTTCTCAAAGTCAAGTAAGTTTCTGCTTTTAAAGGGCTGGAAACGTCGAAGTGAAGATAAAAGTTTAGCTTTGAAACGTGCTGCTTTCTTCTTGAAACCTTTTGAAGTGCTAAGCTAAAAAATAAACAAGCTTAACAGTTTGTTCTGCTGTTTCCGTCTTTGCAGAAAGCTGCTTCTTGTCAACAGAGAACTGCCAATGAAACCCCTCAACTGTCGTTATTTAAAGAATATCGGTAATGCATTTACCTTTCCTCAAGCTAGAACGAAGTTTGCATTAACATAACATGACTGGCAGGGTAGGGTAGCCAAAGCCTGTTCTCTAGTGAGAGTAGCTTTACTTTCTGTTTTACTCAAGTAGAAGTAAAAAAGTATTCATCAAAAATAAGTCAGGTAAGATTTTTAAAAAGATTCCTCAAGCACTGAGTCACTGATCATCACAGCTGATGTAATCTGTTAAAGTTAAATTGACCCACGTGACCTTAAGCAGGCCCACCAGGTTTAAATCAGACTGTAGTGTGTGTGTGTGTGTGTGTGTGTGTGTGTGTGTGTGTGTGTGTGTGTGTGTGTGTGTGTGTGTGTGTGTGTGTGTGTGTGTGTGTGTGTGTGTGTGGCATTCCTGGTTGAAACATGCTTGATCTGAGCCATGGTTAAAGGATTTACCAGAATACGGATTATTAATCTGCAAATCTGCTCATTTAGGGAAAGTGGTTAACTCCTTTGGCTTCTGCTGTAGATGACACACCTCTTGCATTTCGGAGCAGAACCCTGTAGACGGACGACAAGCTGAGCCATGGCTATGGTGGAGTCTCACCACCGTCGTAAAACCCAAATCTAAACTAAAACGGTCTGAAGTGCCCAAATGTAAATGACTCAGTTGTTCAATTAAAACTGCAATCACAAATCTTCATTCAGTAAAGTAACTAGAGGTGGTAGAGTAACTAGACTGTACTCAAGTAAGAGTAGCAATACTCAAGTAAAAATGTAAAGTATAATGCATTAAAACTACTTGTAATGGTAAGAGTTTTTCTCTTAATTACTCGAGTAAATGTGAATGAGTAAATGTAACTAAATACCCACCTCTGTGTGAGGGTATATGAAAAGTCTGAAGTCCAAGTGTCGAGGACAAAAGTCTGTAAGGAGTTGTAAAAGGTTTCCTCTTACCCTTTCTCCAGAGTTTGGAGCAGAAGACATCACCATACTTAGAGATGGACGGGCCTTCTTAAGCACGGTATGTGTTTGGTAATAAAACCACATCGCCATCACTCAAGTCTTAAATCACTCATTTAATCAGTCGGTGATGATTAGTCTTCATTTTTTCAGCTGATTCGGTTTGGATCTGAAAATGACCAAAAGATGAACTCAAAAGAATTTAAATGTTATGAAAATATCCGTCATTCCCTCAGGGACTAAAGTATCCTGGAATGCCGTCATTCTCTGACGAGCCGGGGAAGATGTATGTTTTGGATCTGCTGCACCCAAAGCCAGCCCCAGTGGAGCTGAAAATCAAAGGCGAGCTGGACCTCCATGCATTCAACCCACATGGAATCAGTGTGTACACAGATGAAGCAGGTGAAGCCCGCTTTTCTTTCACAATCTCAAACCGGTTAATGCGGGGTAACTTATCCTGATGTGGGTGTGCTGGGACATAATATTACCTCTAAATGTTTATTTTTAGTTGGTGGGGGGGGGGGGGGGGGGTCAGTCAGTCAAAATTAATTATTTTACAACAAATTTCTATTTGCAAATAACCCAATAATGAATAAAACGGAGATCGCGTTAACTCTAAAACGGGAGATACATCATTTTTACTTTGAAGCTGTAAAATTACAAGTAAGGTATAAAAAATGTTTCAAATGAGTGGAAAGTTGTCGCTGATATGAATTTTATCTACGTGTTTTTCCAAAGATTAAAATTGATCCCAGTTTAATATTATTTTTAAAATCTTTATATTATATAGATATGAGATTTGGAAAAAAAAACAGCTAACTAAATACTCTTTATAAAGTATGACTCTTCCATCTTTTTAAATAGTTATGAATGCATTTGGCATTATTTCTTGACTTTGTCTCTAGTGGAGTGTACAGATTATTAACAGTAGAGTTTGTCTTGGGTTAACCAGGGAAACCGCACGCCTTTGCACGTTCTATATAAAAATTTAGCATTACATTAAAAAGTATTTCAGAAGAAAGAGGGACTAACATTTTGTTTTTGCCAATGATAAACTAAAAATATATTTCCAATACCATAACACCAGTAAACAATAATGTACAGGAGCCTTTTTTTTTTAATTGCAAATTTTTTCCGCTTATCCGGAGTCAAGGCCCAGACTTCCCTCTCCCCAGCCACCTGGGCCAGCTCTTCCGGAGGAATCCCAAGGTGTTCCTTGGCCAGATGGGAGACATAGTCCCACCGTGTCCTCCTGGGTCTCCCTTTAGACCTCCTCCCGGTTGGACGTGCCCGGAAAACCTCACCAGGGTGGCGTCCTAATCAGATGTCTGAGCCACGTCAACTGGCTCCTCTCGGCGTGAAGGAGCAGCAGATCTACTCTGAGCCCCTCCACGATGGCTGAGCTTCTCACCCTATCTCTAAGGGAGAGCCCAGCCACCCTGCGGAGAAAACTCATTTTGGCCGTTTGTATCCGTGATCTCATTATTTCGATCATCACCCAAAGCTCGTGACCATAGGTGAGGGAAGGAACGTAGATCGACCGGTACAATGATGAAGCCAACAGGACCACATCATCTGCAAAAAGCAGAGACCTGATCCTCGGGTTCCCCACAACACCTTTAAAGAATCTTGTACAGGAACCAAATACTGTTCCCTTCAGTAAAACAGTGCATGTTTAATGTATTATTGATCAAGTAAAAATAGAAATCAGCTATTTAATTAGGTATTTTTGGGCCCTGTCAGTACATTTGACCTTTGTCTTAAAGACATGTCTTTCCAAGTTTTCTGTCTGTTATCACACTGAGGAAATGACTCATCTCTTTGCAGACGACTCAGTATATGTGTTTGTTGTTAACCACCCCAACTCCAAAAGCCAGGTTGAGATATTTCGTTTTGTTGAGGATGAGACGCTCGTACATCTAAAGACCATCACACATCCTCTACTGCACAGGTATAAAACATCCTCACAGACCTTTTACCCTTTAAAGGACCTGTTTTCTTAACTTTGTCTCCTCATTGCTTTTATTTATTTTTTTGCAGTGTAAATGATATTGTTGCTGTTGGACCGGAGCACTTTTACGCCACCAATGACCACTACTTCCACTCAGAAACGCCCCACTTCCTGACCGTTATTTTGGGCCTGCCCTTGTGTGATGTGGTTTACTACAGCCCAGAGGAAGTGAGGGTGGCAGCCGATGGCATTCAGTCCGGAAACGGGATAAACATATCCCCCGATAAACGGTGAACCTACAGTTTGTTTCCACAGTGGCTGATAATGCTCCTCGTGTGTTTACTTAAGACAGTTCAGTTTATAAAGCACCAAGGCACTTTACAAAGTAAAGGTTCCAGCTGAACCTGCGACATAATGCATGGAGTTCAACTCTTGATTTTAACCTGAGGAACGCCAGCAGATTGCATTGTGTCACTGACTTGCAGCATTCACGGTGTTGTCAGTGACTTGAGCAGTCCCTCTCCCCCTCCCTTTGCTGTGAACGTTTCCACAGGAACACGTCGTATTGCAAAATCTTATCAAAATAAAATACAACTTGTTTGTTTTAAAGGTTTATTTACGTTTCGGATATCCTGGACCATGATGTAGATGTTTTTGAGAGACAAGATGGAGAGCATTTGTTGTTTATTAAGGTAACCCAGTTTTTCTTTATTTTTAACCTAAAATCTAAAATATCTTCTCTTACATGTCTCAACATTTAGATGGTTTATCACAACTACTTGTTACGTTTGTATGAATGGGGTGACGGTGGCACAGGAGTTAAGCGCTCGCCCCGTAAACAGAAAGTTGCAGGTTTGAGCCCCGCTCAATTTGTCGCTGCCATTGTGTCCTTGGGCAATACACTTAACCCACCTTGCCTGCTGGTGGTGGTCGGAGGGACCGGTGGCACCAGTGCTCGGCAGCCTCGCCTCTGTCAGTGCACCCCAGGGCAGCTGTGGCTACATCGTAGCTCATCCCCACCAGTGTGAATGTGTGTGTGAATGACTGATTGTGTTGTAAAGCGCCTTGGGGGGTTCCAGGACTCTAGAAGGTGCTATATCAAATACAGGCCATTTAAATGGTTAACTGGTATTTTAGACTTGTTGCCTACTCCCTATCCTACTTTATGAATGAGCTATTCTTCTGTTGGGCATCTCTTTCTGCTGCCACGATAAAGATTCTTCTTCACATCCCTTATTCGATCTTTTGATTTTCCATTTGAAAAGAACATTGGTTTCACGTGCTTTGGTTTATTTTTGTTTGTTCAGAGGACAGATCATTCTTATCAAGTAATCTGTTGTTCATCAAGTAATCTGTTGTTGTTGAACAGTCTGTAGCAGTTGGATCACTCTGTGATAACATCGAGGTGGACCACGTGACGGGCGACTTGTGGCTCGGTTGTCACCCAAATCCCTTAAAACTGATCAACTTTGATCCAAAAGATCCACCTGGCTCTGAGGTTTGTGTCCTTTTATTATTTAAAATGCACAACTGTGTCAGTATGTATAATAGTTTAAAAAACATTTCCTGCAGGTCCTCCGGATCAAGAACATTCACTCCGACCAGCCGGTAGTGACCCTGGAGTATGGCAACGACGGCCATGAACTTATGGCCTCCACTGTAGCAGCTCGTTACGACGGAAAGTTGCTTATTGGCACAGTATTTCATAAAGCTCTTTCCTGTGTGTTGAAATAAACATTATCACTGAATCCACCTTCTTGACTGCCTGATTACTGCAATGTTGTAACAGTCTGCACAGGTATCACTTTAAAATATACACTTTCTAGTTCCCTTTGGGGGAAAGGAGAGTTTACTTACCCACTTTAGATAATATTTGAGAAAATGTTGCAATAAAAATTACAGCAGTTAACAGTTACACCCATTAAAAAAACAATACTGGTGACGGTTTAAAGCTATTCCATCCACGGTGGTCTTAGTTCAAACACCACTGGGCTTTCCCAGTTCAAACTGGGCATCTAAGTCATGACTTGAAAATAAAAACAAGTTCAGTTGCTTGTGTTTGGACTTTGAGTTCAGAATTTTGATTTAAAAAAATTGTGTCAAACGTGAGGAAAATTGGGCAAGGCATCGTGGGCACAGACCTCCACAGATCCACTTCTTCATCCTTTGGTTGTAATTTAAAAAACACCAGTGTGTGATTAACTTTTTGCCATGCCTTTTGATTTTTTTGTATTCAATCTTTAAAACCGCAGTAGCAAATCTGAAAAACAAGCTAGTTTTTAAACGCAAACACATTAACGGAACTATCAACCCTCCCGTTGGTTAACATCCCCAAGGCCACGTCCACCGGAACCCACATCGGCAGACTCAACGTGCTGGTGCTGAGCACCAGTCACCATGTTCTACGTCCAAACGTCTTGTTCTCAACTTCAAATGGAGATTTTCTTTTTGGGACTCCGGTAGTTTATCCTAAAGTTGAAGTGGTAAGTAACAGCTGGCCGTTTCTCCTGATGTTGTGCAGAGAACCTCACACCAATGGTGTTCTGTTGCTAAATATGCAAGTGTGTAATGAACGAAGGACCCAGGGAAGTGCAGTGGTTTACTGAGACAGACAACCAGATGGTCCAATCGAGCCGTATAGTATTGAGGTCTATAGACTCCCCCCTCTCCCAATCTCCACATTATCTATAATGTTTTATGCTAGCTTGTTTTGCAGATTCGCCATTGTAGCTTTACATTTTGGTTCCATCTTGATAATGGGCCAAAGAAACTAAGAGCCAAATTCTCAGTTCTTGCCTTGTTGGAGGTAAAAGTGCCACTCATCCATTTTCATTTTTTTCCAAAGAGAAGTTGGCCTCTGTGACCTTGGATATTGTAAACCTCGTTTCTCCTCTCCTGGAGTGTGGCACTTTCTCAGTTTCATCAGGGTTTGGTACAGCGTTGGTGGTGCCGTCTGAGTCAAAAGACCAATTGCTAGCATGATTAGATTTCTCACGCAATTCAGGTTTTAAAACGTTTTCTTCTCCCGGAAAACACTCGTCTTCTTGTTCGCTAATGTCCATCGCTGGTGCCACAGGTATTTCACTGAAACTGAAGTTGCGCCTGTGCAGTGGGGAGTGATCCAAAGTCTCAATGGTGTTGGCCAAGATATCGCTGCAGCTCTTTGAGCGGGCAAAGTGGATGTTTTCAATTGGCTTCCTTCTCCTTTCCGTCAGTCCAATCTTTTTGATGACTGTGCTGTAGTCCTCATTCTCCTCAGAGCGGAAGTTGAAGATGTCAACAACAGTTGGTTTGGCATCTTGGTTCTTCTTCTCTACCTTAGGTTCTGGTGTTATGTCGTGGTGGTGGTGGTGGTGGTGTCTATGCCACTGTTGTCTTTTCTTCTTCAGCACTTTATGAGCCTCCACCACCATGTGGACGTTCCAGCTGAAGAACAGGGATAGCCAGGCCAGTCCCATGTAGATCCACAGCTCTGCTGACACTCTGTAGAGGCTGGGATATTGAATATCAGGATTCACACCTGAAACGAGTTGAAGTTCAGGACCACACTTCTTATGAACCTGCGTTTATCACCGTGAGAACAACTCCTACCTGCAACATAATCTCCAAAGCCGACCGTTGTGAGGGTGATGAAGGAGAAGTAGATGCCTTCCAAGTAACTCCATCCTTCCACGGACATGAAAACAAATGGAGGGATCACCAAGTGGAAGAGCAACCCCCATAAGAGAAACAAGGCAGTGCAGGTAACCTGGACCTTTTTCTGAAATGCAGAGACAACGTGTCGTTCATTTGGGCACTCAGTTTTGCTTTTAGTACAAAACCAGAGAGGTGCTTACCACTGAAACGCCTTTTCGAATCAGAACTTGTGACAGACGTTTAGCCCGATCACCAAAGAACGAGCCCAGCGTGCTAATCCACACCAGACAGAGGGGGATCCCACACAGACCGTACAGGATGCAGAACACACGACCACTGTTTGTCTTTGGAGCCACATTACCATAACCTAAAGATTTACAAGATAACGGGTAGAATGTTTCTATGAGATAAACAATTCATACGTCAACCCGATGTTCTGTGGTTGGGAAACAAATAATGACGAATATTCTAGCAATGACCTCAACTGCATGTACAGCACTTGCACATATAGCAAGTTATATTCCAATAAAGGCCTAAAAGTGTTCCTCGCAGTCTGAAACCAGATACAATAACCACTGTGAAAACTAATCACTGTGGTAGCATGCTGTACTCTACTTTAGCACTTGAGAAAATGGTCACGTTGTTGTTGATAAAATAAAAATTGGTTATGTGAGCACATGTGATGATGGAACATAAGACAAGACAGATACTAGTCCTTTGTTTACCAGTAAAGCACGCAGTATTATTACCACAACAAAGCGGCCCTTGGAAGCCTGACGTATTAAATACTAGTCCGATTGTTTATAGACTGGTGTAACTAAAACAGCTATCTAATTCTTGGAAACATTTTATTATAGATTAAAGTAACAAAATATAATTGGCACGCATGTCTTGCAGAGTTTAGATCTTCCACAAGGAGGCAGAAGACTTGCAGAAATCAGTAAAGCCAAAGAGAGGAGAGCACTAATCCTTTTAAAGACACAGACGTCCAAGACATTTGTGTGGCAAACGTGACACATTTGGCTTTAAATGGCTGATATTACCTATTGTGGTGACAATGGTGGCAGCAAAAATGACAGAGTTTCTCCAGTCCCAGGAGTTGCGGTGATTGTCCCCTGTGATGGCCACGCCTTGGCCAGCAGCCTCTGATGCTATCTGGAGGGTCACAAATACAGTAAATGTCTTAACAAATGGCTCTTACAAACTACCATCTGCTGGTATGCTTCCAGTAACCGGAAGTGGGTTAAACATTACAGATACAGGTAGACGCACCTTGTGCAAACGTGCCCATGCTTGTAGTTGCATGTTAATGATGACTGGTTGGTATTTAACACTCACTCTTAGTGATGTAGATTAATATGAATGTTGTCTAAAGAGGAAGAACTGCATGTTCCTTTAACAGTTTCTGTTTTCAACCAGAAAAAAAAACCGTGCCAGGACACGAACAACAGCTCTTTCATAAAAGCTGTAATTAAAGCAGAAGTTTTTTTAATCCCACACTTTCACGAGTCTTCAAAGTAAACAAAACCTCCAAAAACAGGTTTCTAGTCGCTAACACTAACGCGTTTAACATTCCTACCTTCAGGATCTCATCGAGGTCCTCTTTTGTCAAGCAGGCATGCTTTGCCAAGATGTTTTCCTGCTGTTGGATATATCTGTCCCTGGCTGATTTCCAGTTAGGCTCTTCGAGGATCTGGAAAATTGCGGCTCCGATCGACAGGTAGAAAATGATGCACGAAGTCAGAAAAGGACCTTTATCGGCCATATTAAAGCCATAACTTCATTCTCCACAAGGCGAGCGACTCATTCCCACACACGCGTGTGCGCGCATGCACGCACGCACGCACACACATGCTGTTTTTTTTCCTGCGGGCTGAGCATAATGAGCTGCATGACTGCCCTCTCACAGCAGACACGCACAACTGCACTGGTGGCTTCACCAGGCTGCAAAACCTCTTCAGTTTGTAAGATTACATTTGAAATTCAGCTATTTATTAAAACTGCCCAAATAAGACTTATAAAATACTTTTATTCCGAGGAAGAAGAGAAAAAACATCTCTAGTAAAAATGTTTCCAGATTCTTTTGGTTTATTTCACACAAAGGGTTGAAATAAAAAGTCTTTGAGAACAACTAAACCCGCAACAATTGTGGTCAGAGATCTTGAAATACCTGTTTCAAGTCTGGGCCATGAACACTTAACAGGCTTTGTGTGAATGCTGGCCTTCACTTTGTTTCTCAGTAAAGAAAAATCCTTCCACAGTCAGACCATGTGGAGCAGTTTTTCCTACGCTGTGGGTGTGTTTTATTGCCTGTGGGAGGACTGGAAACTACCACAGGAAGTGTAAACTAGCACGAGGCCAAGGTTACTTTAAAATACAAAAAATTTATTCCTGGAGAACAATAAATGAATGCTTACTTCCAAGTATCTATCTGCACTGCTGAGAATTAAAATGAACACACCACAATGAGTTCACAACCGCACCCTGTCTGTCTATCTGTCTACAGTGGGGCAAAAAAGTATTTAGTCAGCCACCAATTGTGCAAGTTCTCCCACTTAAAATGATGACAGAGGTCAGTAATTTACATCATAGGTACACTTCAACTGTGAGAGACAGAATGTAGAAAAAGAAATCTATGAATTCACATGGCAGGATTTTTAAAGAATTTATTTGTAAATCAGGGTGGAAAATAAGTATTTGGTCAATAACACAAATTCAACTCAATACTTTGTAACATAACCTTTGTTGGCAATAACAGAGGTCAAATGATTACTATAGGTCTTTACCAGGTTTGCACACACAGTAGCTGGTATTTTGGCCCATTCCTCCATGCAGATCTTCTCGAGAGCAGTGATGTTTTGGGGCTGTCGCCGAGCAACACGGACTTTCAACTCCCTCCACAGATTTTCTATGGGGTTGAGGTCTGGAGACTGGCTAGGCCACTCCAGGACTTTCAAATGCTTCTTACGGAGCCACTCCTTTGTTGCCCGGGCGGTGTGTTTGGGATCATTGTCGTGTTGGAAGACCCAGCCACATTTCATCTTCAAAGCTCTCACTGATGGAAGGAGGTTTTGGCTCAGAATCTCACGATACATGGCCCCATCCATTCTGTCCTTAACACGGATCAGTCGTCCTGTCCCCTTAGCAGAAAAACAGCCCCAACGCATGATGTTCCCACCCCCATGTTTCACAGTAGGTATACCTACTGTGAAACATATATGGTGTTCTTGGGATGCAACTCAGTATTCTTCTTCCTCCAAACACGACGAGTTGAGTTTATACCAAAAAGTTCTACTTTGGTTTCATCTGACCACATGACATTCTCCCAATCCTCTGCTGTATCATCCATGTGCTCTCTGGCAAACTTCAGACGGGCCTGGACATGCACTGGCTTCAGCAGCGGAACACGTCTGGCACTGCAGGATTTGATTCCCTGCCGTTGTAGTGTGTTACTGATGGTGACCTTTGTTACTGTGGTCCCAGCACTCTGCAGGTCATTCACCAGGTCCCCCCGTGTGGTTCTGGGATTCTTGCTCACCGTTCTCATGATCATTTTGACCCCACGGGATGAGATCTTGAGTGGAGCCCCAGATCGAGGGAGATTATCAGTGGTCTTGTATGTCTTCCTTTTTCTGATAATTGCTCCCACAGTTGATTTTTTCACACCAAGCTGCTTGCCTATTGTAGATTCACTCTTCCCAGTCTGGTGCAGGTCTACAATTCTTTTCCTGGTGTCCTTCGAAAGCTCTTTGGCCTTGGCCATAGTGGAGTTTGGAGTCTGACTGTTTGAGGCTGTGGACAGGTGTCTTTTATACAGATAATGAGTTCAAACAGGTGCCATTAATACAGGTAACGAGTGGAGGACAGAAAAGCTTCTTAAAGAAGACGTTACAGGTCTGTGAGCCAGAGATTTTCCCTGTTTGAAGTGACCAAATACTTATTTTCCACCCTGATTTACAAATAAATTATTTAAAAATCCTGCCATGTGAATTCATGGATTTTTTTTTTCACATTCTGTCTCTCACAGTTGAAGTGTACCTATGATGTAAATTACTGACCTCTGTCATCATTTTAAGTGGGAGAACTTGCACAATTGGTGGCTGACTAAATACTTTTTTGCCCCACTGTATCTATCTATCTATCTATCTATCTATCTATCTATCTATCTATCTATCTATCTATCTATCTATCTATCTATCTATCTATCTATCTATCTATCTATCTATCTATCTATCTATCTATCTATCATCTGTCTGTCTGTCTGTCTGCCTGTCTGTCTGTCTGTCTGTCTGTCTGTCTGTCTGTCTTCATCATCATCATCATCATCATCATCATCTGTCTGCCTGCCTGCCTGCCTGTCTGTCTGTCTGTCTGTCTGTCATCATCATCATCATCATCATCTGTCTGCCTGCCTGCCTGCCTGCCTGTCTGTCTGTCTGTCTGTCTGTCTGTCTGTCTGTCGTTGGGAACAATTATCAGGTTCATCAATCACTTTTACTTCTCTTTTCCACCACATTTTGCTAACAGATTCTTGTCTTTCTGCACTGACTAGTCACCTTGGTCACGCGCACGTGCAAAATCTTCCTCTTACTTTGTTGTAGCTTTGTTATTTTGACTGTCCCCCCCCCCCCCCCACCCACCCACCCACCACCACCACCACCACGCGCATACGTGTCCAGCAGGGGGCACTGTTTCTCCACTAATGTGTGATGTTATTGAGCTGCTGATGCGTCACACCGCATTATTACCTCATGTTATGCATAAACCCCGATTTAATGCCTTTACATTTACATTGGCAGGCCATAAAGCCATTCTAGCTGTAAGACCTGATTGTTGCTGCTATATTTGTCTTTGTAATGTACTTTATAAGCAAAGATAAATAATTGGATGCATTTTAAAAACATGTGAATAAAGCATGCTTATTGAAGCAGTCAGCTGTTTCTATCTTTGTGCTGGGCCACGTTTAGCAGCTGGGTGGGCCCTGGCTGCTGTGTGTGATAATGCAGAGGGGCGTTGTCCGAACTGTGAACATAAAGGTTACTGTAGTCACAAATGGCTGTTCTCACACAGTAAATACAATGTCTGTGTTTAAGTGAAGCCTAAAAACGTTTATTTTGGAGTTTAATGAGTATAAATCCTTTTAATCAGACTTGCATACACTCTTCATCATTTCTGCTTCCAATTCAATGATTTATCGGTTTGTTGCTGTTTGCATACTTTGATTTGGTGCATTACTCACATTACTGAGATTTACACAAAAGCTCGTGCATTTTTCAAAATTAACTAGTAGAAAATGCAAAGCCAGCTGTCTTCAGCATTTTGATGTAATGAGGTTTAATCCACCAAGATCAGAAAACACGTGAACTGTCCCGATGAAAAAACGACAAGGCCATTGGACTGTTGCTCATAAATGTTTTTATTTTGATGAAATTAAAGGGACTTTATACAGAGTTTTGAATTTTTATGCTCGCGATTGCCCCCTCAGGCCAAAAGCGTAACGGCAGCTTCAGGCTCATGCACTAGGCACGCATGCTGTATGTGCACACTCCTTAACGAAAATAACAGCTGAGACGAAGCTCTGTGAAGCTGATGTGGGTCAGATTCACAGAGCTCTGAGAGCTGACAGTCCCTTGTGTGTGTGTGTGTGTGTGTGTGTGTGTGTGTGTGTGTGTGTGTGTGTGTGTGTGTGTGTGTGTGTGTGTGCGTGTGTGTGTGTGCGTGGGTGTGTGTGTGTGGCCCGGAGGACAGAGGACAGGAGAATGTGCAGCTAATTAATTAAATAATTTGGTTCTGTACCTTTCTCTTCAGCACAGCCGACAAAGGTTTAAGATGGGTCAGTCCTCCTGCATGCTCAGATCATTCCCTTCCCTTGCTTGAAAAATTGTTCCAAAATGAAAGTTGAACCCACATCTTTTTTATCTGTGAATTCAATGCCGTTCGGCGAGTCTCAAATAAAAATTTGGGAATCTTACTGTAAAAAAATATACCATTAATGTAAAAAAGAAACTCTAAAAAAACTATTCTCACCCAGAATTGAACCCATGTCTCCTGCATGAGAGTCTGAAATCTTATTAGATGAGCTAAACCACCACTGATATTTTGGTATCTGTAACATTTATATCCTTCATGACAGCTGAAACAACGTTCAAAGAACAATTCGGAGCGAAAATGGCTATTTTGTTGCTAATTTGCAGGAAATATCTAGAAGAAAGTAGCGAAGGGTCCTCAGAAATGTAGCTAGCTTTGTCACTAGGCGTTAGGAACAGCGACAAAGTTGCTGAGTTGGCACTGCCTCTCTCTCTGCTGCTAAAGCTACGGATAGCAAATGCTACGGGCTATGTCTGAGCGTGAACGCGCATGAAGCAGCCTGCTCGACCCGAGCAGCTCTCTTCTTCTGTGATTTAACAGAAAAACTGGCAATCACAGTAAAAAATGCCAGGGCTCATTCTACAGGACCAGGGCATTGCAGGAGAATGTATGAAGAAGACATTTATTATTTCTATACATGTTTTGGCTGTCAGACTTCCATAATGCCCCTTTAACATGAATACTTATTTTGTGGGATGGATCATCCATTCTGAGAATCTTACACTTTGAAAATGATCAACTGGGCCTTGCAGTTTGTACTAATTGTTTTAAGAGACACACTAGCTGTTGTTGCAAGTGTTAATGGTGATGCGAGAGGTGCACTAAAGCGACTGAGAAAAATGAATAAATCACCGGAGAACACTTTAAGGTCAGATATGTTTCTGTATCCCCCTGGGACCGAGCCACTGGGTTTATATAACACAAGACAGATGTTCCAGCTGCATCAGCTGCTGGATGGAGTTCTGCAGCTCCTCTGGGGTTTCACTTTGTCCTC